AAAGCCTTTAGAAGCTTCAAATCAATTTGTAAAGGTCAAACGTGAGAATGGAAAAGCGTCATTGCTGCAGGGATTTTCCACGTTACGCGAATTATTTGATCTCTCAACTCGCTTTGTAAATCACTACGACGAGAAAAAAATTGTTTCAAAAGCTCGTATTTTAAAAATTTAGTGCAGGTGAAAACTTGATTAATCTGTTACTACATACATGAAAATTAAAAAAAATAACTTAGATAAATGTATGACTAATACTAACAAGTGTTAGGTCAATAACAAAATTTCCCCTATAGATGGATGCTCCGTAGTATCAATATTTACGCTCAAGCACACACTTGCTATGCGTCGATGTTTGTCTATCCATCATCACGCTATCAAATATTTCCGGGAATTACAACACGTGCAAATTATCGATGTAGATAAAGCTTTGCTCTTCCTCCTCGCAAGCCTACCGTTAGCTCTTCAGCGCTGTCGTTCCAAGGACTTTATTGCGCGTACGTACGCCTATTACTCTTTTCGCGACTCTTATCTCGTGACAAATAGATGAGACGACTAAATTGACCTCCAGGACTCAGGCTTCTTCTCTCTCCACATTCGCAATAATTTAACTCTGCCAAAAAAATTGCTGCATACGCGAATGAATATGTCGATTATAATGACCATAGAGGAGGAGTTTTTCTTATTCGATTTATCATTCGAAAGAAGATCAGCTTGAAGAAAAAAGCCATTTTAAATGATACCCACGAAATTGCGTCTCATAAATTTTATGTCATTTTTCGTTTCTTATCCGTCGGTAATTTGCAATTCTAAAGGGAATTTTTGAAGGTAGCATTAATTTTAAATAATCATATTTTATGAATGAAATCATCATGTTTATCATAGGCACGCTGGTATATTAAGACCCAAGATAAAAATTTCAAGTTGACCTCAAATTTATCGTGTTTAGTTTGGAATCTATTGTTTAGTTCCTGTTAAAATTCGAATGTGTGTTATTACCTTTTATTCCTCACTCATAAGCAATTTAGACCGAGATTGCATTTTAACGACTTCGATAGATACTATACGTGTGGTTACAGTACAAATGAAAAATTGGGTCGATTGCTATAAACACAAGCTACAAGTTGAAACAATTTTTCTTTTATGACATGAGTTTGCTATTTCACAATCGATGGAAAATCGGAGCAGTATGAATAATTCATTTCTGCAGTTTTTTACAGACAATCGATAAATCAATGAATCTATTGTAAATGTCTTCAGTTTATCAGCTATAATTTTGAAATATAAATACCTTCTTTAGATAATCGACACATCAAGTGTTAAAAATGTTGAAATTTGGAGCAAACATGATATTGCAACTTCTTGTTTACAAACAAGCAACTTTCTTAAATGCGGATGTCCTGTCATGGTCAACTTACAAAAAAGTCCTTTGTTTTTCTATTTTTCAGCGGTCAAGATAAACTGCTGACGAAGAAACTACAGGCAGCAGAAGCGTCCGAATGTTTTTTATTTCTTTTTTTTTAACAGCTGGGTTAAGCTCGCGCGCAAAAGTTAGCCTTCTGCCAAAAAATAACAATTAAAAATATAACGCGACGTGACCCGCTTGTGTAACGTGGGCTTAAAAGTTCGAATAAGGGAATGGATCCCTGACGTACGTAGCCTTGACTCGGATGTATATGACGCGGGAGTGCAGCACAGCGCACGTTCTCGCAATAACTTTTTTTTTCACCGAACGTCTTTTCGCGCCGAAAACTTTTAGGATATATATATATGATGCTGGGCGGCTCGGGTGAAATTTACGAGACGAGCATGTGTGTCGCTGCCGCTGTTTTAACGACAGTCCAACCGTTATGGTATAAAACTTCTGAGCTTGTTATATAGAATTACTCGATTTTTCGTAAATGTTTTTTTTTCCTTAGAGGGGTGGAGTTTATTTCAAGAGGCTATACGAAGAATTGCCGGTTCGCAAGTAAACCTACGTTACTCTTGAGCTAAATATATCTTGTCTCGCGTTGACTCTTATTTTGCGCGGTTTGCCGATCCTGTTATTGGAAAATTCGTAGCTTTTTTGTAGTACACAACTAACGCTAATGATGGCTAAAGGTACATGCAACTCTAGTCAAGTGCGTGTACGTGCGAGAATATTTCCAGCCGTAGGTCGATTGAATCTACGCTTTCAAAAACATATTCAAATGAAAGCGTTCAACTCGCACTGGAAGCTGTTTTTCGCGTTAAGAGTAAGTGAAAAGCCCAAAAGTACATCTCACTGACGGCGCGAATAACGTCTACGCGCGGGGTAGCGGGCAACTAGACGTTGTTCCACTTTTCTTGGCCAGTACGTACAATTTCATAGCTGAAAATTTGGCGCGCTCTCGCGTCATTTCACGACTGCACGCGGGCGGAAATAACTAGTACGTTTTATGGCTTATACATGCGTGCGAGTCAAGAGTCGAGCGAGCGATTGTCCCAAATCGAAAGTTTTTGAGTGTTTATTTACTTCGCGGTATGTTGATCTATCTAGCGATGCGACGGCAACTCATTCTGTCTATTCGCGCGGCTTTCAGTACTGTTTTTCTTCCTCTCGCTTGCTCGCGCTCTCTTTCCTTTGATTTTTTTATCTCTCCTACGTTGTTTTTCCCGTTCTATTTACGTTGCTCTGTTGTGGTTGCGCGATACCACTCATTTTCTCTCGTTGTGTATAGTTTAACACTTTTATTTCTATTCGGAGTGTTTCCACGCAGCTGCTTAGATCTGCTATATTTACCGCGGATTCCTTGAGAACGTGAATTTCTTAAATCACGAGAAGTTGATTTCACTGGTACAGTACAATATGGTATTAGCAAACAGTCCGTTTAATTATTATCGAACTCATTATCGAAGTAGTAGGGTATGCTGGACAATGTTTCATTGCTAAGGTTGTTTGACGTTTATCCGAGTAAAGAGTGAGGAAACTTCCGAGTATATATGCGACATTTAAACCAGCGCGTCAATGATCTGCAATACAGAAAAACCTTACTACTTAATTGGAAGCTATAGAATTTCCATTATAATTAAGCACTCGAGTGCCTCCATTAAATGCCAAGCGGGCGGAGGCAAGTTTCGAAGAGGGCCGATTTCGCGCCATATTTATATCGACGCACGAGTTGAGCTAAAGCGTGTCGATGCGCGTACCGTAGGCAGTATTTGTAAACTTGATTAATGCTAGACCGAGCAATAGCTAATTCGAGGAACGCTACATTCAGCGCAATGCCCACGGAAATCAATTTCAGCGTGGCAAAAGCATTGACCGACGCCTGATCCCAATCCCCGCAACCGCAAACTCTGTCTTTCTATCTGATGGCCACACGCTCGCAATGATAATTAGCATAGTTACCGAAAGCTCTCGCGTCGATAAAAGCCATGCCTTTTCATCGATCCGATCTGACACAGAGATACCAATCATTCGAATGAAGGCTCGACACCTGCGTGTTGCGGAAGGATCTTTTATTTGACGCGCGGATTTTCTTCTCGCGTGGCTTCCGCGATAGCTGTGCGTACATACCCGGCAAACTGGAAATTCACGATTTCCATTCGCTCTCGCTCTCGTCGGATTCGGACAAGTTATTGGATTTCTCGCTGTACTTTATTCGGCTCTCCCATCCGCGCGCGCGCACATATGCACCGTGTCTGTGTGCGAATAAATATTTCACATTGGCGGCATTGAGAAAACTCCAATGAAAATTGCAGCGCGCGAGTGTACAATCAGAGTTGCGCAAGGAACGCGCCGAAGATTTTATTTTTATTAGAAATACCCATTGACGTATATTCGAAAACAATATAAGCGCGTTCAACTCGCAGTGGAAGCTGCTTATGCTTGAATTCGTGCGAGTGTATAAAATATGCATTTGACATGCTTTCAACGGAGCAGAGTTCAGTAATAATTTGGTGTATGTAACCGCAATCGTAGAAATCGATCAAGGCCAACGCTGAACCAGAAGATACGTCAGCGAGAGAGTACATCGATCGATAACGCCTATCCTACTTTCGCGCGGCTTATAATTCACTTAATTATAGGCTCGACTCGCTCGCTCGCGTATCCTTAGGGAGCGTAGTCGTCGTCGTCAGTTTCAAAGTGGAATCCTGCCAGCTCCGGCTCGTCCCGCTCGCTCGCAGCTAACGAAGCTCATTCATGGGCGTACGATTATCGCGTGACCTCAAAATCGATTAGCACTGATTATACGGGCGGTGCGCACATCCGCGTGAAGTAATTAGCACGAGCGCGCGAACGCACGCACTCGTGGATTCCAATTCGCCGTCTTGCCCCTAGTATAAATTCAACTGGCGCGACCCGATTGGGAACGCGCGAGCGCGCGCCTCGATAGAGGAACGAACGCTAAGAATAGGTAATTAGCGGTGGTGCAGCGGCGGCGGTGATAATATCGTCTCGCGTGACGATGGATTATTAAGCAAGCGAACAGCGATGCCATCAGAATTCGATAAATGTCACATATTAAGCAGTGAACACTGCTTGCTGGAAGCGTAAATGTCGCGACGCAATTGTAATATCCTTACGGCTTAGCTGTAATTTGTAAAACAGTTGCTCTCTGAGCGTAGTCTTTAACATCCATTCATTCTGGATTCACCGAACTCTAAAAGATTTTGTCAACGAAAATAGAGGTTAATGTATATCCTTGTGGATTTTCTGTTGTGAGATACTTAATTATGCAATAACAAGGTAATGGCATTAACGGAAAATTTATCTCGAGTAACTTTACGATAGACACGGTCATTTACCGAATTATCTACCATCGCAATTACAGAAACGATTTCGCCAAGAGAGGTAAGATTGCGAGTGTAAAAGGAAATGTGACTTTGAATGATGCAAGAAAGTTGTCTGTGAAACCCCAAACTTAAATTTAACTTTTTAGAGGCAGCGAAAAATCTGGCTAACGCCACACTAGAAATTTATCCGACAAAAGTACGACTCGGGCGCGAGGAAAATGTATGAGTGCTCGTCGAGGGCTCACCTGTAGGTGATGAAGGCGAAAACGAGGGCGACGAGGGAGAGGCTGCCACCCAGCACGACGACAAGGCTCAGTACGCCTTCCTGATCGAATGGGGCCGCAAGACCCGTTGATATACCACCCGCTATGCCGTTCGGTGGTTGGGGAAAACTGTGAATACCACCTGCGTACAGTGTCTCCATTTTTCACCTCTACTTTGGCGCTGAAAGTCAATATACGCAAGATTATTACGAGCGAGAGCAATAACTATATTAAGAATTATTATTGATACGTTGCATTGTTAAATCAGTAATAAATGTAATGTGCTTGATCTTCACAAATATGTGCAATGCTGAAGGCCTTTCATACAACTTTTTCTAAATATCCGATGATGAGATTTTTTCCTTTGCTTTCTATTGTTTTTTGTCTTTGCGACTAAGCTTTCCAACTTACTTTCCATTGTTCAAGCGCGCGATTCTTACAACTTTCTTTCACGTCTACTCCCTAACTCGCAGTAATTGGCTTAATTAATCATTTTTTTAGCTTTTACGACGGATACTCTTTATTGCATTGCTGGAACTTTAAAAGACTGTTTATAATTATTTATGATTGGATTCATTGAAAGCTTTTATTTTGTTTGATTTTCATCAAAGAAATAGCTACTCAGTACTAGGATTTCAAGATTGTGAAAAGCAAGTACAAACTTTTGATTGCGACTTCGAACTAACAATGAGTACTTTTCTGTACGTCTTGTACGACCTTCGTCGGCTAAAACATGATGATGTAAACAAATATTTGAATGATTAAATTGTATTTGCAATATCTAAATATCAGTTTTTAACTATTTGCGTAAAAACACGTCTTTAAATATCGGAACTATAAGGATCATCGGTAAACGCGTTCTTCGCATGCTTTGACATTGATCCAGCAATGTTCCCGGATACGTGGCTGATTAATGTGAACATATATCCTGCATAAAGCATCTATAATTCATAAAGCTGCATACTTGAACGATCTCTCTTTCCCAAAGGGCTGCAATTTATGGGTTTCGATATCGTTTGATAATGGGATGTACCTGACCTTTCTTCTCTCTCGTGCGCGCGGGGCAACACGCATAACTAATGCCTCGAGAAATGCTCATATGCGAGCCTTTATTTTTATGCGATGTACTATTCACAGGTGATGCTTTTCTTGCTCATCCAATTAGTATAGTACCCTTGCGAGTAAGAATCTTATTGTGGAAAACTTTTGATATCTATTGCAAAAAGAGATTCTACCTTTCGATGATGGAGAGATGACTTATTTAAACTTTCTTAAATACTTTTAACAAATTCTCTCTGAATAATTCATGATTACCCAATTTTCGAAACATTTATCAGGGCTAAAAATATCGTATTGTTAAAAATGTTATAATATCGTTTGGTTTCAAAAGTGTCATCGCTGTACTGTAAGTTTCTCTATTGTGTACTGTAAAACTAGTTTGCTTTGTTTTTTTCCTTTCAGACACGCACCGGTCCGTCGCCAACGTGGCTCGTTTGGCGTGTTTCGACGAGTTTAGATTATAATCGTTATTCTTAGTAGACAATAAGTTGTATGATTATTTTTCGGGCTTGTCCTCATGCCTGATAAAAATAAATAAAATAATAAAATTAAATAAACTAAAATTATTTCTGCTCACCACGTCCCTTTCATGTATTCAATATTTGTTCGCGTAAATTGAAAAATGTGTGTATTACAGAAGGAACTTGTCAAAGAAAGATGTACAAAGTAAACAACACTGTTCTGTTATACGCTCCGACTTTTGTTGAGTCATTAAAAAAATGGTTTTAACAGAGCTCAAATAAACGTTAAGCGTGCTATTATCATTGGTTTATTTCAGATATAGAAATCTGAATATATGTCGAGCATGATCACCTTCATTTTTTCCTTTATAAAACTAGCTTTGCTTTTTTGTACTGTATTCTTAGATAAATAGTTGTAAGTTTAGTCAACCGCTTATAGGTACATGGATTATAATATTGTTTATGACCTTTAGAAGCAAGAGTTTCAGGTGAACATACTCAAAAACGATGTTTACTAAAGAATTCACATTATCGCGATAGGTATCAAAATGTATATAAAGTTTTTTTCCTCGAAATGACAAAATTTTGTGTTTGATTATTAACTCAGTGTATTGTACTAAGGAGAATTCTGTTTACAATTGAGCAAAAAGTTGAGTTGATAATGGGATAAAAGTATAAAATTATCAAATTATCAATTACTGTAATAACTCGAAATGCAATAATTTCAGTGAAACTTGTTATGATCGCATTCCAACTGAAAAAGCTCAGAGTAACTTTATGTACGCAAGCTCTTATATTCTATACGCTATCGATGATAATTTCCAATTTATAGTACCACAACATTTCTGCAGGAACGTTCTATGCTCCAGATAGCGGCTGATATTCGATATTGCCCATGTACTTATCTAAAGTGCATCAACTGCGATTGTGGTGAGCACGCGCTAGTCAAGTCAGATTCCCGGGATTTCTTCCTCCTGAAATACCTACTCGACTCGATGCGCTTGTTCGCACCATTGCGTTTCATCTTTTTATAAAGGATTGGAAGAACAGTTAATTTCACTAGCAGTTAATATTGTCTTTGACGTTAATTCTTAAAAGCTTTTTACGTGGCGATGTTTGAATAGCTTCCATCTGTCTGACTACAAAAACTGTTTTTTTTAAATATTTATATAGATAGATTTTACAACGGATTTTTCAATTAAAGATACATTTTTTAAACTGCTAATGAAGATTTTATTATCAGTGCCGAGTTTACTATATAGTGATAGTAGGAGTTTCAATATTGAATTTATTTATATTTTGATCAATCACTGCAAAGATGACTGCACTGAAAAAATTGCATTCTTATAACGTGATGACAGTGATTTTGAAAGATCTCGTTGCAATAAGAAGAAACATTCTTGTAGTTAAAGGACTTCTTGTAACAAAAAGATTGTTCTTGTTGCAAAAGCGATTCCATTTACGGCTAATTTCAAAATAAAAATCCTCTTGATAAAGGCCTCGTTACAGGATTCTTTTTCAGTATATTATGAAAATGTGGGTTCTGTTGCTGATGATAAAAGTTAAATTTTTTCATATTTATTCAATATCGCAATTTTCAAGAGATTTTTCCGCGTCGCTTGATACATAAATTCGATTAAATATTGATGCTTTTTCAAAAAACCATCCCATCGGTAATTCAACGAACAAGGGTATTTTCAGCCAAAAGGTTTACGGGTTCACAGTTAGCGTGTTAAATTTCAAAGCGCGTAAACATCCAATTTTAATTTGCCGAAATCGTAATTCGCAGGAAGCGAAGAAATTAAAACCTGTAAAAAAAGCGCGCCATCAAAGAATAAATCGGCTTGTGGCGTTATCTGCCCAGGCATTTTTACGAGTCGGAGGCAAAAATGAAGGAGAGAGAGAGAGAGAGATAGAGAGAGAAAGCTCTGCGGTTCGGGTAACTTCGGTGCGCGGGATTGCCAAAAGAGCAAGAGTGCTCGCGCGGGTTTGCATTTCATTTCGAGGATAGAGTTTCCAAATAAACTCATGACGACAAAGACTTCCTCATCTTTATCTTTGATGACCGCACTTGCAGCTTCTCTCAGCTGCTCCCGGTTGGCTTCTTAATTAAAGCGCGCCAACTTAATATTGTCGTGGCTTGTCAACCGCGTTATCTGCGCGCTCCAGTGACCCAAAGGCTTCTTTGTACGACATGCGCGACCCTCGTTCTTATATGATATGCTCAAGTGGCACAGCAAATTCATCGAGTTACCATGCTTTCGTACCTACTTCAGTTACGATCGTGACACGCGATTGTTTTTTGAGGCCAGGTGGTGCCGCTGTTGATTATTTAAATTAATCGAGCTATCACGAAACTTTTGCTTTTCATAAGTGTAAGTTAACGACAGCTAATTTCATTAAATATTTCATTAAGATTTCTTCAGAAATTTTATGTAAAATAATATAAAATTACATTGAAAATTGTCTACAGACATTATGTTAATTAAAAATTTGAGACTATCAGATCGATAAATTATTTGATAGATTGTTTAAAAGATGTATAGTAGCAAAATATAATATTTAATTTTGATTAAAATTCTTGATTTCTTTCGACAGATGTATCGATCGTATGCTGCACGGTAACACAATATCATAAAATTAGGTTCCCGCCGCGACAATCTGTACTTCATAATCATTTAAAAACGGTAAATGGTAAATTCCTACCGTTATAAATAAAGTTCACTTTGTTTTTCGCTTTAATTATTTAGTTAACCTATTGAATTATTGAATATAACAAGTGTATAAAACTTAGCCTAATTAGATTTGCCTTAATCCGAATTGCAAAGAAACTGAGACTTACCGCAAGTCGGATATTGGATCGTTGGACAAACTGATGAGTGATGAGTGCAACGAAAGTGACAATATTCAGCCTCTTGTCACATTGTTGCGGCGAGATGAGGCGCGAATTTACAATCGATCGTCACGCGCTGCTCGTGCCATAAAGCCGCGCGGCTTTTACGCTCCGTCCGTGCTCGTGTGCGGCTGCACCGCCACCCACGTGTCCACGACTTCAGTGATGGTTAACCGCGTCACACCGTCGTTCCATCGACGTGATTGGCATTTTTCATTGCTTTCCCTGTTTTCCGCCGTAGTCTTTCGTTCGCTTTTGGGTCTACAGGTATCGGCGTACTTTTTAAGATTTTTGAGTTAATTTGTAAAAATTTCAACTGATCGGCTAAGCCTTCGTTTCTGGTGTCGAAAAGTTTTGCATGAAAGCACTTTCGAAGTTGGTATCTCACTACAAAATGTCGCACGTCGTCACGTCAGCATTCTATTTTTGATTGAAGTCTTGTAATTTCGTGAAATTAAAAAAAAATTCAACAATCAATTTGTAAGTAACGCATAGCTTTGCACTTAATCTCAAAGCCTTAAGCTGCAAAAGCTTGCGACAAAGTAAATTTTTCGTGAAACTGGAGTGTTTTACGATGTAAATAGAGACGTGTCGGGGAGTGTAAGCGACTGGTGTAGCGAGTAGGTCGGCGTGCCGAGCGCAACTGAAAGCTCGCCGCTTGGCATCGGCACACGCAAGTTGTGAAGCTTCGCTCGGTCGCTCACGCGCGCATGCGATATCGCCGCTACCAGCGTCCTCGTGTATTCTCCGTACGAAATCGACCAAATAAAAAAAAGAGAAAGATTTTCGCGCTGGAGAAGATGAAGTACGTGTACTCGAGGATAGGGCTATTGATATCCTGTATTCCGAGATGACACTGACAACGAAGGAGGGTCACTTCCCCCCAATGACACGAGAGCTATAAAGTAAGAGGAAAAAAGGGACGTCGCTATTGTCTGTGTTTATACGAGAGGATTCTGGGTCGGCCTTGCTATCACGATTTTTCTTTAACCGATCCCATGAGATATCCAGGTGATATTCAAGTTTTATAGGTGGCTATTTGCTCGGGGGTTATTGCTTCTCGACGTTTCAGATGCCGATTGGTTATTCTTCGAAGATCTTATTTGCCCAGCTCGCGAGCGTACGGCTTTCAATTTTTATTTGTCTCAGTTTGCCACGAAAAATATAAAAATAAAGCGTGCGAGGCAACGGAATAATATTTGTTGCTCGAGAGGTTTTCTTATTTGTATCGCACTTTAGCTGCATCAGTTTGATACGTTATACGCTTGACCTGCTGTAGTCTTATGAAACCAATGCGAAATCATTGTTCTCAGGATGTGGCAGCTTGCCAAGAGGTCGGTCATTCGTTAAAGTCGATTCAATTTATGCAGCATGTATCTCTAGCGCGCCTGTTGAAAATTACAAGTACTAATGTCTTTAAGCTTCGATAAAAATTATTCGTCAAGTTTATCATGTCAATGAAATTAACGATTCTTCTTTTTTTTATGTTTTTATTTTGATGGTGAATATTTCAAAACTTTCCTTGGTAAAGATTATTTCTAGAAAAGTAAATGAATATTTTTAACAAATCCGAATTCGCATAAAAATTTATTTCGCTTTCAAACTTACTTCAAGTTTAATTCACGAATCGTTATATTATTTTCTTTTACACGTGAAAATCTAATGGAATAATAAACTACTACAGTTATTTCAATAATCTGGACATCTATTTATATTATTTATATTATCTACCGAAAGACAGTTTTTGCCATGAAAATATTACTAGAGCATAGTCGAAACTTTATTATTCATTCTCCGAAACCACTGTACTGTGTCTCAATCTTTTTCGACTTTCCCAAACACCAAAAATAAAGTTTTCACGTGTCTTGGCTATGCAACGATCCACCTAGAAACTCTTATGACTTGTTTATAATGCTTAGTCATACATCAAGCATGCGCTCGAGCATGAGCGATTTATATATCCACGAAAAAGCAATAGAATAAATATGCATGATCAAAACACTAATGAATTTAGTAGCAGGGTATTCGCATCAATATTAAATGAATACACTATGAATATACCATAAATACATTAGATAATAATATCATATATTAGATAACAATACCATGCTTCATTGTTTTTTTCTAATGCACTGAGTAAATAGTACCTAGTTGTAACGATAACAGCTGATGAATATAGTGATTCCTCGTGAAGCTTTTAAAAATAAGGTATCATACCTATTTCACTTAGTCGTCGGTTCTTGCAGGGTGTTTCTGAACGACGCACAAGTCGTCACGTCAACTTAATAATTGCAGCAGAAAGCAGGAACGCCAGAGGGCTATAAGTATACCTATAGGTCCTTGGCAGCTCGTCGTCTCATTTCCTCACAGCGCAGCGCGCTTCGTTTTCTTATACCACGGCTGCTGCGCTGCTATTACTTTTTCCGAATACTTAATCAGAACTTCGACAGACAAGGCACGCCGAGTTTCTTGCGACCAACTAATTAATTTCTCCTCGCCAAACCTCGCGCACACTTATTTCAAGTTTTCCCTTTGATCCGTTTTATATTTGCTGCTGTTTCACGGATATATTCATTTCCGAAGTACCTTTTTCTCTCATTGACAGCAATTTTTTTTTTCATTGAGTATTATTATTGTAGAATATCAGTTGTGCGATTTTTTTCTATTGATACATTCAAAATTTCACATCAAGCAACTGTTATTTTTTTTAGTTAACTTATGGATTTTACGGGTTAGCACTGTCAATTTGTTTAACCTTTAGTTTTACGTTTATCAATAAAGACATATATGATTTATTTATATAAATTAGTGTTTATTTTTTATACGTTAACGTAATATTTTGAACAAATAACAATAGTTAACAATTAACTTCAAAGTAGCAATAAAACAAATGTCAGGTAACTAATATTCTACAATACAGATTAGCAATATTTTAAGTCGTTCGGATAGTTAGAAGAATTATTGTTTACTTTGATCTATTTTTATATTTTTAAATATTTGTCAACCACAAGAGCATGGCATATTCATTCATTTAAGGCAAAAAATACATCGTTAAACATAGTAAACAAGTTTTCAAGCTCGTCCCCGATATTTGCAGAAGCACATATGTGTTGAGTGGGAGCGGCCCTTTCTCCAAGATTATTCTTTGATGAAAGCCAAATTAAAAGTTGACAGATTTAAGACAAATATCTTTTGATATATAAATTGCACTAAAGCAGTTCTGGATGATTTTGCGCAGTCGTTTTATCAAAAATAATAAAAAAAGTGTGTTTATATTTTTTTTATTTATATAGAGAACAGCTAGATTTATTATTGAATTTCGGAATCTGTTTTTTATGCAATTACTACTCAAAATTATTCCGAACTGTTTTAGCGTAAACTACATACAAAAAAGCCATAAATCTGTTGTATCTTAATTTTTTTCCATTAAAGAATAATCATGGAGCAAAGGATCGCCTTTTTTGAACACTTATTTATATATAACTATGTAAATGTTGGAAGACTTTAAAATTTCATTTGGCACTACTCTCCAAAGACTTGTTTAAATTATAGAGTTGATACTTGAAAAATTTATTAAATATAGATGCTACCTAGATTAAGACCACTCATTTTCAAAAAATTTTGTACAGTAGTGTACTCACGAAAATGTTTAAAATCTTATAATACTTTCCAGATCGTTTTACCGTGACTACTTTATTTTTGACCAAATTAGAAAAATATGTTAGTTAGAAATTATTGTTGGCATTTGAAATTTTCTGTGAGTAAGCTGCACAGAACGTATATGACCTCTGGTAATCGAGATGGAAACATTTATAAATAACAACTTTTCCAAACATGCACTCTCTCTCTCTCTCTAATTAAGGCTAACTGTTGGAAAAACAAATGAATGCAATATCCAAGTAATATTTATAGTGTAAAAAAGGTAATGAAGCGGTACGTTGAGTTATCACTTGACATTTAACAAAATCAAAACATTAAAAATCAATCTCCCTTTACGAAGTCGAATAATCAATGCCTACTATAATGCATTATCAAGAAATTAATTATGATATCAAAATATACATTGACTAAAATATTGATACGTTGATACTTCTAATTTTACATATCTGTTTTCTTTATTGTGTAAAAATAAAAATTTTTACTCTACTTATAATACATATATATTCGAATTAAATAATATCAGTTACTCTGATTCTCTAGTTAAAATAAAGCAAATTATTATATTGTTGATGAAACTATAAGTGTTAATAATTTTTTTATATCTTGTCTGTATCAAATATCAATTTCATTTTATTTTGGCGATAAGCAAACAAGTATTTCATATGCGGACGAACGAAATGCACTTCCTCATGACAGTCGGAGTCGCGATAATACAATTTTTTCTCGTTGGGAGGCAGCAGTTGATTGTGTACCACCTTCGATTAAGATTTCTATGTTACCGACGCTTCTTAAAACATACTTTTTATTATATTCCAATCCAAATTGTTACCTAGTTATAGAACATTAAGTTTAAAGTAGATAATTTCTTTATGAAAAACACAAATGTTTAACCAGTATTTTTGTAAAATTTTTTTCTATTTAGCTAAAAGTACTCAATATTTGTTAAAATATTCTATCAATTTTTAATGAAACAATATTTTTTTAAAGTAATTAAATAGAATTTATTTACATAAATATTCTATATGGACATGGGAATTGAAAAAAATAAGATAAACTTAGTATATGTGGTTGTAAAATTTATTGTAAAAGCAATGAAATTCAGCAATACATATAGTATGTAGAAAATATTGAACGAAGATCACAAATACTTTCTAATTAAATACATATAATAATTAATATAAAAGAAGATAAATCAATGTCATCAAATTCTACAAAAGTGTATACTCATTATTTTCAATAAAATATAATTGTCTGACAGGATTTCGCGATAGAAATGTTAGCTTGCATTGCAAGCAACATGAATATATATATATATTTTTTTTTAAACCTCACGACATCGTGAAGTAGTGTAACGCATAATTGTTGAATATATATATATATATATATATATATATATATATATATATATATATATATATATTATAGTTGTCATAAAAAAGTAATTATCGACGCATCAACTATTGTAATTAATATAACGTAAATGTATTAAATACTGAATGCAGTCCGCTCGTTTAAAGCTCAATGTATATAACGAATTCAATTTAATTGTAATTTCGCTAATACCTTTCTTTTTATTCTATTAAAATTTCCAACAATTACGCAATGTAAAGATCTTTCGAGGGTCGCCTCCTACTGCAATTATAAAATTACAGAAAGCAAGCTAGAAAATAAATAACGGGATATTTAAATCTATTTTCGTATAGGTCTAAATATTACGAGAACATTCTAAATTATGAAGACTGTAGTAAATAAAATACGTATATTCTTATAATTGCACTAATTATTTCTATAGTTTATTTTTCAGACTTTACATGTACACTTTTTGTTTAGAGAACCTATTCATGGATGATTAAAAAATTCCATTTCAGTACTTAAAGTTACCGATACGGTAGTCTTTGTAAAACCGACAATCTAAAAATGATATTACAGGTCGATTTCGATTTTGTTAAGTACTTTTTTCGAAAGACAGATTTTTTTACTCAGGTACCTATCCAATCTGCCGAATAGTAAATTTCAGAATAAGTAGAAATCGAGGAAATACACTTTTCAATTTTACATTTTCCGTCAGTCATAGTAGTATCATAATTAAGTATCCACATCAAGTCAGGTTATCACGATTATTACTTACATTTTACAAGAAACAGCCATGGATGACGATGTTGTTCTTGACATCAATTGATTTTTTCGATTCCTAAACTATTCGTTAGAATAGAGCAAAGAACAATAAACGATGTCCGTAGCATCATTTATCATTTTAATGTCCTTACTCAGGGTTCAAATTACGGAGATTTACATAAGAGATTTGTAAAAGTTTTCCTTATTGAGTAATACTAAAAATCAGAATATATAATGCCATTAATAGGAATATTGCGTGAAAAACTAGGAAATATAGAATTAACCGAATTGTGCCAGCTTAAACAGCAAACAATAACTAAATGGATGTTTGAATGTTGCGCAATTGATTGATCGATATTGCTCCTAAGGCTCTTTCCTCCAGTCGATAGCTTCCTCGACATAGCTTGAATAGTTGTCGCATAGTTACCCACGACTTAGATACTATATCACAATCAACGTTCTCGCCGTCTCAGTGTCATCATCGTCGTCATTTTGATGCTGCTTGCACAACATCAAGTGACAGACGACAAGCCCATCATATAAATCCAGCGGCTGCCCGGCAGCAGATCAGAGTTCTCGTGGTGTTTTTGAGAAATAGCAGCTTTGCCTGGCCACTACCTTTCTTCGGTATTCGCATTTGACTGAGCTAAGTCAGAGTCCTCGTTGGGATTCAGGGCAACGGGTACTCTAACTTGCTACGGGGACTTCGTTGATATTTTGAGGATTCAGAGAGAATCACGTTCACGTCGCTGTGTCGACGTGAATCTCTCTCAATCCAAATGTGTTACTTTTCTCTTGATTCCACCGTCCGGATATAATGGTCCACACACCAGAATCTTTTCCTTCAGATATTGATAGTGCCTTAATCTGGTAGTAGCATAATCCTGGAATAGAAGAATTTTCTCTTATTAGTTTAAGGCATCTTTGTTATATTGTAAAATTAGATATTTACCCAGTAACCAAAGGGTATCTGTGAAAGTTTAGCATTAACAATCGCCCATAATCCCCAGAATAAGTGACTAGCTAGAGAGAAAAGCTTGATTTCTGCCATCATGCGATCTTCTTCTTCGGTTTGACCCTCTTTTCCAGCAGTTTTCAGATAGCTTCTAATAAAATTGAGCTGTTGAAAGAAAACATAATGGTAAGCTTTTGTTTTCGGATAGATTTTTTTCTACTAAAATTAACCGATTAATCTTCAAAATTTTATTACAGAAATATATTTTGAAATTTATTTCAACGAAGACTGTATAGAAGCTAAGAATTTGGAAATATACAGTATATACAAATAAATCATCACACAATCCATCAGATTATTCGTCATCAACAGAAAAATTATACTTAGGAAAAAGTATGTCGGAATCGAATAAAATTGATAAATTCTGCGATTTGAATTAGTTTCGCGATGTTTCGTAGCTTATTGAAATTCAAATACACCTGTTTGTATTTCATTTGCAATTAAAAATTAGGTTTATTTTTTTATACTTTATAAGCATATTTCTTTGTACTCAAGTAGAATATGGAGTCAGAATTTGACTTCTGTAGACAAAGAAAATTGTAAAATGATAAAAAGAAAAAAATGAATGACAATAATATTCATGAAATTGATTAAATGCACATAGTTATATAACAGTATCAATTAAGAAAGCAGTTACACAAATTACGTAATGATTATTTTTTATTATTTTCAACTTTTTGCTAATATAAATTATTATGTAGAAATCATTGCACAAATTAAACTGAGATAGCTTTAGATGACGTATTAGACTATAATTTTGTACAATGGTGCATTCATTGCATGCTTTGAACAAAAGCATTATGATGATAAATGATTTGAATGAATAAATTAAAACATAAGTCTCAATTAATTAAGACTCTTTTGATTTTATGTGGCAAAAATTATCATTGTTAAATATAAGCAGGAAAAAATGACTTAATACAATGTTTATATTTGATGACAGGTTTAGAGAAGGTAATAAAATTTATAATGAAAATTGATAATGGACCAGAAGTATTCTTCAATAAATATTAGTGCTCAGCATTGAAAATTCAAAAGCATGAGCATTGAAATGTTTTTTCTCTATTTTTACAAAGTTGTTAGATCACCAGAGCAAAAACCTGACGGGCTTATGTGTATCACGGGAAGGCATCGAAAGTGCATCTATTACGGCATTATCATTTATTTCCAAACGTGAACGAACGCGTCATTCTGTGCTTAATTGGAACGTTGTGCTGTCGAATAAAAAAAGTATGTCTTTTGCGGTATTCTTCATGAAACTGCTCATGTGAAGAGCGTTGAAAATTATTCAAGACTGTTTCATTAAAACGTCCATATAAGTTCCTATGCAAATAAAAAATAAAAACTGACAGATTTGTAGTGCAAAAATCAAAATTAAAACTATGAAATAAAAAAAACGAATTGAATTTTATATGTTGACAAATCTTACATCAATTCACAGATATACAATTTTTAAATCATCATAAAGTGAAGTGAATAATTGCATTAATCTCCAAATAGAGAAAATGCAAATATGACTTGGTGATAAAACCAAATACGATCAGACAAAATTAATAATTACATGCAGTACACAATAAATAACCTGATAGAGACAATTACTAACCAGTAAAGTCTGTTCTGCAGGTCACATAAAATAGGAACGTATATGAAAATTTTTCAATTAACAGCGATGGATATGTATCGTAAAAAAGGTCGTGTTTATAGATGATGTTGTACAGCGAAACCGGCGTAAAAAAGTGTCGTTATATCGCTTGGTTCGCATAAAACCCGAGGTTACGAAAAATCGGCTATTGAGAGTGGCAGGTTGAGGTACTCTATCGTAATGTTGCTGAGGCGTGCAGATGCCGGACCATGTGTGAGTGTAGCTCTCTCTGATGTCGGGCATTGCGGGGTAGACATTGAGACAACCCCCAACTCTCGAGTGGAGGGCAGCTCGTGTCCGTTCCTTCGGTTCCTTGTAATGGTTGGTTCTCCTCTCAGACTGTCACACTCTTCCCCAGTGGACCACCTCCAATCATCACTGATCACTGAGTGGCTCATTTTGTGCCCCCCATATCGTGGGTGACGTTTGCGCAGGCCACATCATAGCCATGTCCTGTGAAACTAATAGATACACACGCAACACACGCCAAGGTGTCCTAGGCCTGCTCTCGCTTTTCTTTCTTTCTTTTATCTTTCTACCGACTTTTTAACGCTTATACTTGTTTTTTGATTTTTGTTCAGTTATTTTTTGTCGATGTACTCATTTCTTTTACTGTAGTTGTAATATACTATTGTGAGAATTGCAACATGCGTTCTTGTAGTTTGCATTAGGCCAGTTTATGACAAACTACGCCGAACGCTATGAGATCTCAGATTTTTTAAATTTGATTTTCCAGTAAGAAACATTTAATCACAGGTAACTGTGTACTTCAATGTAAGGGTATATCAAATTTTGAATTGCGCGTCAGTAAACGCGCACGCAAAATAAAAAAAACTTTGCATTAAATGCAACACGCCAGCTGCTAAGCAATGTCACTTTCATTGCTTGCATCCGGCGGAGATTTTTGGAATAAACTTTTCATAATGATGTCGTGAAAAATGCAACATGATTTTAAATTAATCTATCATTAAATATGGATGAACAAAAATTGACAGAATAATTTTCTTGATTTTTAATAAACCAATACTACCTACGAGTAGTACATAGTGTATCTAATTATGATAACCAATAATCATGAAACGACTAACGCTAGTCTTCGAGTTGTTGAACAAATGCACAAGTTTCTGAGATAAATGGATACACGATGTAATACTCTTGGTTGAGCAAACTCTATACTTGATAACTAGCGTGAACAAAGAATTTAATCAAGCCTTAAATAAAAAAAATATGTTTCAGTAACACATGATGACGTATCATGCATAGAATTTGCTGACTGATTTTTATCATAATATATGGCTCGACACAATAAAAGCTTTCAGAAACTGGCAAAAACATAAGTGAAAACAGTTGCAAGTATATCATATTCTCTTGACCATTAGAAAAAATGAATGACAAAACAAAGCAGAACTCTTTTCGTTTATCAGGAAATAAAGGTAAGAATGTTCGAAGCTAAGAAAACGATCGCGGAAGACTCGAGACGAGAACATATATCTATAAATGTTGTCGAACAAAAAAGATAAATATTTTAAATTAGACATCTTACCCAGGATGCCGACGAACGAACAGTAGTCTGACCCCCCAGTCCCCCAAGGCGCGTCTTACCTTTTGCTCTTTGGTAGGTCCGCAGCTGGAGCGCTCGCTGAAGAACGGGTAGTTTTTGTTGGTGTAATCGTACTGCCACTCGCAAAAGTGATTAGCCACGTCGAAGCCGCGATAGTTGTACGAACAGTACTCGAAATCAATCACCACCAGCTCGGATTTCGCTGAGTTCTGACGCATCAGGATGTTACCTTCTTGCATATCATTGTGACAGAAGACTACTGGGTACTTCTGCTGTTTGACTAGAGTCCTAAAAAGAAGGAAGAAAAACGTCAGTACAGTTTTGTATAATGTCACGCGATGAATTGCGTCACCCATAATACCTGAACCACGAGATCTCCTCGTCGAGATCAATAGACTTGATGAAGGAGACATTGTCGAGCTGTCGGCTGTCGATGTCCTCGATGTTCTCCAAAATGTCGGTTGCAGTGTCGAGCCACTTGTCCATAGTGTCCCAGAGCCAAGTGGGCTCCTTGCTGATAGGAACTTGCATCGAGTGGATTTGTGCCATTTTTTCGGCAATCATGTTGCTCAGCGAGGGATCAGCCAACTCTTTAGTGAGCAGTGGGCGAGCGGGTATGTACTCTTCAATTCGACCGCCAGGGAAAATACCATGGAGCTTGGGTCCAAGTCGTCTCTCTGACAACAGAGTGAAGATGACGGACTCGGTGATGAGACCTTCAAGGGCTCGTTCTCCATGAACTTGACCGTAGAGCCGCAAGAGGACCTGTCTCGGCTCACCACGCACTGGCATTGCACCATCGGGCAAAGCAACGTTGTACAGCCAGTTGCTGAGACCACCACTGAAAAACGACCCAAGATTGTTATTATATTTATGCGTTTTAGACATCGGAATGCAATCATACAAACACAGCGTTATCCAGGTCATCGATAAACAATTGATTTCATGCGAGCTACTTTGACGTTTCAGTAGTTGATCGATAGCTACTCCCGACAAGATAAAATAGTTTTTTAGTGTTAATCGAATCACTTTTCCTTATTTGCACCTTGCGTCGTTACTTCACCAATTGATGACGTGAAATATAAATAATTTTAGTTTGCATAATTTATTCGTTATCGTAGTGAAGACCTGAATACTTGGTTAGTTTCCTAGTTATATATGTTATATATGATGAAATAAAGTGTAAACGAAGTGTAATAATTTAATATCAATGTATCTGTACTCAAAAGGATAAAAGCAGTTAAAGTAATATTTTTTCTACCAAGTATTTTTTCATGAATTTAATTGTTACAAGTGAGCCGTGGCAAAACGCATAAATTGAAAGTAAAGTGTAACTCTTAAGACGAGTTCTTTATTTATAGTCTGCGGAATGGAAAGTATGCGAGACAGTGGGCGATAACAAGTTGACGAGTTTATCGATTGTAAATTTAATTGAGCAAAAACAATGGCAAATAAGATTGTTTATCGATAATATATCATCTTTAACAATTTCACGTTATGAGTCATTGCTCAAAATTGTAAAATACTTCAAACAATTGATAAATTATCAGAGGAAGTAGAGTATTTAATGATATTCAGGTGATTTCGTTCAGCTAGAATGGTATTTCATTACCTTATCCTTTTAAGCACGATATTATCAGGAGTGACATGCTTCCATACACCATGCAAATAGTCACGGCAAATACGGGCTGCAGTTGCTCTCATCTCTGGGTTGTTTTCGCACATCTGCAACGAGAAAGAAAAATAGTATAAGTATGTTAAATACGACGTTTGTGTATCGTTCAACGAATTATTGTCATTCCATTGTTACGTTTTTTTAACTGGCTCTTAAACGTTTTGATGACTCATCGTTTCACATTCATAGCGCAAAATAAGCTCGCGAGTATTCTTTTAAAAAATGACTACTCTCGTGAAAATTCAATTGGTTGAGAGATTATAATCGGTTTCTAATTTTATATAATTTCTAATGATTATATCGAAAAGTGTCTCGAATAATCCTAGGTAAAAAGATGTATTTAATCTCTTGCCAAGGATTTACCGCATTGATGACTTCAGCTTATTTGAGATAATAAAATTTTGCGCAATAAAAGTTAATTTTTTTATTATATTGTTGTACATAGTAAATGTTAAAGAAAACTACTTGCTTACACAGTAATGAAGTATTTAGTGTCTATTTTCATAGGATTCAACTAAGCTGATAAGTTAGAAAGAAACAATGGTAAAGGAATTATTGTGCTGAATATAACGTACTATAATCTAACTTTCATTTTGAACTGCATTGACCTTGAGTTGTAAATGACAGCCGGAAAAAAATTAAAAGTTTAAACAATTCAACGATGTACAGAAGCTCAACTTGCGAAAAGTTTAATTTTAGTAGAATTGTAAAAATATAATATAAAGTTTTAAAACATTTTTATGATCCAGCTGGCTTTATTGATTTTATATACCAGAAAAATGAAGGCCAAGTGCAGTGCTTGTATTCGATATATTCCAAGTTTCGGTATGCTAATGAAATTATCTCTAAAAAAGTAATATTATTTTCAAAACGAAGATTAAGTAATTTTTCAAACTAATAAGTTTATGGAGATGAAATTTAATATGGTAATAATTAATGTGCCTAGTGCATGAGATTCGTCTATAACATAAAATTATTATTTTTTTGTACATACGATAGATGTATATGAGTAATTATTATCTCACATTATACAAGACTCCAAGTGTAATTTATAATTTAAATTAATCGATTTCGATCCTTGGACTACGCAACTACATACGAGTACCAGTAGAGGCTGTGAAAATAGCGTGTTTTACGACATAGTTCACTTTATAAATATTAAAGATGGATGAAATATCAACATAAACCGCGTCTGAAACATAATTGCTTTGGAAAAGAATACTACATTCCTAAATATATGAATTGAATTCAATAGACATGCTATTTTACTCTCACCTACTTTCGTTTGATCGTTAAGCCAATAGTATGCGCTAGATCGTCCTAATTGTAAGACTAATTGCCGAGGTAGCTACGCCCGAGTATTGGCGATTTTCCTAAAATAAATTTCGCATCAAATAAATAATTTAATAAATTTACCAAGTTCTGGCCAGAAAACGTATAAACGGATTGTCGATTTGTACGAGTTTCGCCCATATGAACATTCTAAGGGCACGAGTTTTCACCGACTGGAGCCACTATCACCAGCAGCACGAGTTGGCGAATATGTGAGAAGGGCCGGGCGGAGTTTGCGCACTCACTGAACAGATCAATAAGTTTTCACCGCACGCACGCGAGTCCGCGCAGAGCTTGCTATAGCAACTATTTTAACGTCACGGCATTTCACATTAGTTCGTCGTATATTCCACGAGGTGCGCGCTCTTCGCAGACCGTGTACTTTAAATGATGATGTACTTTAAATAAATGATGCAATTTTCGTATTTTTATGATAATCGATAGCACGTCTGCTGTGTAGCTTCAACTTGTCGGGAAACAATTAAATTTTAGGCGACGAGTGACGTGCAAGCGCAAAACAATATGACGTGCTGTTGTAAAAATTTCAACGAGATGAAAGAACGACTTTTACGAAGACGTAAATATAATTGGACTCGTAATAAGATATGACGCACGCTTTAAAAAATAAATAAATAAAAATAAAAAGCTTGTCACGAGAACGTGGCACAATAGTGACAGATTTCCAGATTTTTCTTAAATTATTCTTATTAAATCGATCAATTCGAAATTTTCACTCCACAGCTGTATAAAAGTGCTAGGGCAGTCTGGTTGCATGCCTCTCATGACTATAGAGAATCAAGGCTAATGTCTACAAATACCTAGTGTGTATCTCTGCAGCGTTTAAAATGAACATGGTTCCTGAAGTAAAAGTAACAAAACAATAACAATAACGATGGCTTTACAAATTTATATTTGATTTAGTTTCCGGAGTATTCATCTTGATTATTTTCAGGCGATTTCGTTTTTTTGATAAATGTTGTTGATATCGATAGATTTGGAGTTGAACGTATAGACAGAGTTTCTCGCTTTAATCTCGTACGTCAAAAATCGAACAGTGAGAATAGAATCAAGATACACAGACATCGTAGTAATATTTAGTTTGTGTTATGTAAACAAGAATGATTAGAATTTTGTAGTAGTTTCGTGAGTGACATCAAATATTTGTGTCTTCTAAAACAATTGTTTTCTTGTCCACTGTCAATGATTTTGATAGTAATTTAGCGATAAATCTGGGCATCGCAATTATTTTGAGTTTGATTGCTTCCCGTGATACTGATCCTATCACAATGACTTTTATAAGATGAACTGACAATACAATACTATTCTTAAAGCAATTTCCGTTTGCTCGAGAATCAAATGACAGATAACAATATAATTCTTTTCATTAAACTATACTTTAACAGCGATTAGAAGAAATAAATCAACAAGAACATTTAGTCACCGTTTCCGCATATTTAACTTATCAATTATAACATCAAAAATACTTATTGCCGTGTCAACGTCAACAGCTTCATGATTCGGTGTTATTTCCCACTTGTGCTAGGCGATAACAGAATCAGCCCAAAAAAATGCTGCGCATGTGAGATACCGGAATTTTTGCTTTAGCGTTGGCATTTCTCAAGAAGAACTCGTTATCTATACCAAGTGGAACGCACACATTTCCGTTTCAGCCAGTTTTACCAAAGAACAAAAAAGTCTTTACAACTACAAAGAATAAATCAATTTTTATAGTTATTAGGCTAATTACGTCGGATAATTGTCTGTCACCGTCGAGCTCCGAGCGATTCATCACGATTCGTCGGATAACAGCCGTGAACCTCATCGGGAAGACTGTTTTCTTTATTGTCTGCAACTCACGTACGTACAGCCGAGAAGGAAATAATAAAAGAGCAAATAGCCGGCAAAAAATTTCCCGCAGCTTCGTTATTATTGCGAACAATTGTCGGTGATCGCTGCAAATCTCGGCGCGTGCACTCGAACACTGGCTCAAACATCGAACCTTTTCGCTACGTCTCTTCGCAGTCGTGGCTAAAAATAGTGTTGCGCAACGTGGCGGTGCATACAGTTCGTGCACTCCTGTTTGTCACAGGCAAACAGAGCGAAGCGAGAATTCTACTTCGAGCGAAAATTGCTCGTATCTAAGCAAATCCGACAAAACATCGAGCAGGAATTCCCGAATGCGCTTTCAAGGTGAGCGCCGATATTTATTGTGCCACCTGGCACGTGCATCATTGCTTTTCTATTACCGCACGTGACGGCAATACATAGAGCTCGCGAGAGATCGAATACTTCCGCGCACGATTAATTTTGAGAGAAACAGGTTCTAGACGCATTTAATATGATACAGGCTGGCTTGTTATTATTGCAATCATAAGAGAGTTTCGACCGCACACGAGATTCTTTGAAAAATTTCTGAATTGCATGTCAGCAAAAAAAAAGAAAAGAAACGAATATTTCAGTTCCAGTTGACGTGTGCAAGCTTAAATAATTTTTCACGACAAAAATAAATCTTTCATTGCGACAGCAAGTTGCAAAAATGATTTATCAATGATTATCGTTACCATTTTCGCACTCTTCCTTTATATACATTACTTTAATTATGATAACGTTTGTTCCTAATTATCATCGCATATTAATAAATTTTTGTTTGATTTAACTTCAAGAGTTTATTTCACTCAGAGTTATTTAAAGAATAAAAGCTATCGAAATAAGACTCTTCCACATGGAACAATGACAGATTGCTTTTGTACTGCACGAGACGCTAGCAGATCATCTTTCATGTTAAAACACAATAAGTATGTCTTGAAGAAACCAAGCCTACGCTCAATAAATCCAATTACTCGCAGATTGAATTTTCTGATTGACATCAATTCCATGGCAACTACGTTGATGCTAACTCGGTTAAATTTTATTATACGAAGTAAGCATTTTCACTAAGGCGTGTACGTTGGACGCTGACTCATCAGTAGTTTTAAAATGTTTCTTTACAAACTTGCTGATAACGTAAATTAGATACATTGCTCGACCAGCTTGTTAAATTTTACACGTACCAAAGTGATATTTCATATCTCAATTTGTCAACAATTATTTTTGTCTGCGAAAATTGTAATACTTTTATACTACTTCTATTTTTCTGTTATTGATAAATAAAAAATTTCTTTCTAACCGCTCGAAATTACAATCGTAAAAAATAACAATTCTAATAAAAATTGACAATTTAGTATTCACCGTAGTTTTTCAGTTATTCAAAATTACATCTCGTTTTTGCTTCAAAACATTATCAACTTTCTTCTCCGAAAACCGGCAAGTTTATACGAATGGAGAAGCGTTAGTTTATCATGACATTTATTTTAATTTTATTATGTTGAACAGGAATAACTTTGCTTGTATCAATAAATTTCATAATTTTTCGATATACCTAAACATGAAATATAAAGTCATTTAATAAATATTTAAATTAAAGTGTATTTATTTACACAAATAGATTATTGATAAAATGTTAATTATTTATAGGTATTTAGTGAAAAGATAAATTTTATTGAACAATGGTGTATTTCAATCTAATTATCAAAAAAAAAACTACACACAAAATTTCGAAACTCTATCATTAGCTATTTATAGCACTACAATCTCAGAGATGAAGAAACCAAAAGTTCTCATGGCATCAGTTCCCATTAAAGAGCCTTAGCTTGGGTTATTTTCAGCCATACTGCTAAGTTGCTTCTCGAAAATTCTAGACTTAGTATTCGAAGTTTTATTTGAAAAATCTCTTGAAAAAGAGTCTCGAAAAATGAAGATATAGATTTTTCTTTGGAAAATAAGCAACACCGTCCGTGGCAAATTTAATTTAGGTTATTAGGTTTTCGAAAAGGCTACAGATGCGAACTGGGCGCCATTGGAGATTAGTTTGTCAGCTGATGTTAGCTGGTTCTCTGACCCTGGTACTTTTCCATTAGTGCCACGAGGTAACATTTTGACCATGCACTCAGAAACGATGTACTCGCTTCAATGTTACCATTCAATTTAAAAGTAATTCTGTGCATGAAAATTGGTGATTCAAATCGCTTTAAACAGCTGTTTTTTGTAGTTTCGCACGTACAAGAATAGCTAAAAATAAATGATCAACGCAGAAAATAGAATTTGTACTATTTCCAGTTTTCCAATTGAATTAAGAAAACGATCGAGTGAATTGTGGTTTTTATAAGCAAGCGTTTATGTTTGATATTAATTAGTCACGCCATTACAGATTCTAATAAAATGTATCAACTAACGGAAAATCTCAGTGATACATAAACTTAATCATGAATAATCGTAGCGTGGACTGATGTATATAAGAGAAGGAAAAATAGCACGGCAAAACCGTATACCCTCAGGTTTTATGATAAATTATGGCGTTATCGGTAAGGCACTTACATCATGTCGATGCAGCGCCATTTTAACGAGGCGTCGCTTCTCTCTTTCTCTTGTGTGCTAATGTCGAACATTTATACGTGTAAGATTTCGTGAACTGACGCTTTGTTTAAAAAAGAATTTCGAATGATTTTATAAAGAGAAAGTAAAAAAGAAAAAATAACGGTACGTACCTTGAAGTTGACACCCATTTTGATGCGTGGAATGTAGCTCGGTGTGTATGTGTGTGTGTGTGTGTATAAGAGAGAAAGAATATATATGCGAAGTTAATAGTAACAAATAAATAGTTGCACTGTTCTCAATTGTCGACTGGCTTCTCAATCAGTTATTCAAAAGAAAAAGAACTCTGTATCCAAGTACGAAACAATCGGTGATACAGGTGCTAAATGCTGAACAATGTTCGTACGCAGATGCAATCACCAAAAAATAAGATAGAGAAAGGGGTAATGCAAGAGACGGTCTCAAAAAATAATGTGCAACTCGTGACACTGGTGCTTGTAGGACTAAATTTTCGTCAGTCTACGACTGTGGCTTAATGTTGCCGACGACGACCGAGTGAGAGAGATACCCAGTAAAATTGAAAGGTGGGGAGTCGACTCAATAAAGTGAGAGGGGAAAAATTGTGTTAACGCTGTGTTTTTCTATAATACGAAACGAAGGTATGCGGCTTCGATGAATTTTTCGGACAGAAACCTTGGTTTAGGTTATAATAGTTAACGACGATAACCACAAAGTAAAAATGCGAATGAATAAAGAAAGGTCAAATATGCATTGAGAATATGCGAGAGGTAGAGTGGTAACCGTGACTGCCTTTTACAGCCCCTCCACTCTATTCTCTCTTAGTTGACTCAGTTCCCCAACGTATTTTCCCAGTCGCGTGAGAAAGAAAAAGAGGGAGAGAAAAATGGTGGGGAGTTACTCCTCAGACAGGCAAGAGACTATACCTATACCATACAATGTCTCTTGCCTTTCTGGTATCTCCTTGGCCAGAGTTGGGTCCTGGGTCTACTGCCTCGAATTGTGGAGGTAAGGTGGGGGTACGGTGGGATAGTACCGTGCTTCGTGAAATCCGGTATATTTATCAAAAATTTCACGTACATGTATAAGATTCGTAGCTATTTCAATTTTCCTATATTTTCATACTGAAATATTGATTATATCAAAAGTTATTAATTTCGAAAAAATAACGATAAAAAATTTTCATATATTTAAATCATAATATACAAGTCGACTTTTTTTGAATACACGTAAAACTTTAAGCTTTGAAGATGTTTGCAACAATAAACAATAATTTTTTATTTTTTAAATTTATTAATTTCTTCTTAAATAATTGTAAATAACTTCAAAAAATTAATCTTAATTCTTGCCTTTGCATGTTTCTCAAGATTTTTTATGTAAAAAATAGTTGTAAAATTAATGTGACCGATACAAAGGAACCAGTGGCATCGATTGTAAAAAGACGTAACGATCCCACCTTATGCTTAGGTGGACGGCACTACGAGATAATTATAATAGGTCTTTTGTCTCCATTTGGCCTTTCCATCTATTTAACCAATCCTCAAGCCAACAATTATATACAGGAAAACGTAACATATATTATTGTGAGAAGGCGCCTAACTGTCTGGTAACAAGTCGGCTTAGCACTCAAGTAGACGCCACTAATTGCAAGATATTAGCCTTTTGTTCCCTTTGTTGGCCTTCCTTCGATGTGTCTAGTCAAACCTCGAGCAAGTCCAAACTTCAATGATTTTGCGAGATAGTTAAAAGTGATTTCGAGTTAGTACAAAATAATCTGTAACTTATATTAGATTTTACGAAAATATACCATTTTCATATGTAAGAATGACAATTAAATGGGTATAATTATGCCGTTCATTCGTCTCTATTGTGTCCAAGTAGCTTTCAATTATTTTACAAATTTGCCTCTGCTCTGTACAGTTGATTTTAATCCTTTGAAGTATGTACGTAGAGTCTTTGTTTTCTAGTTCAGCTACACAATAATTTCATTGTGATGTATTTACATTCAAGAAATTTGATCAAAATATATATAGATTTGCTCTTTCTTGAATTATTACAATAAATTGTAATTAAATTAACTCAAAATAATTAAATAAGTCTTTTAATTAGACTTTTTCTTTTTTTTCTCTTAACTAAAAATTATTAAATATACTCGATATGGTTAGATTCAATAATTAGAAAATACCTCCGTGTTCGGATATATCACATACGCAAGAATTTCTATCTGGTATTATAAATAACAGTACAAATTGTAATAGTACATTACAATACAAGTGCAGGAAAATAAATTTTTACCATGCGTCGATTGAGATGAGAATCTCTTTCCTGAACATGCATAGTATGGTATTTTTGAAATGACATCTGCAAAGTTTAATTTTATGGTTTTATCACCACGCTAAAGTGAATCCAATTGAAGATTTTTCTCCAATATCTAATTCAATAACATATATATATGACGAATATTTTAGGTATTGACCCTGTGGTATCTTGATGCCACAGCAATCAAGCTCGACTGAATTTTGTTCGACTATTTTGAAAAAATGGAGAACTAAAAAAAATTATGACATAAGTATCTGCTTTTTATAATTGCTCTTTTTATTCTTTCTAATAATAAAAACATTAAATAATCTTCATTCTGTGCATACATGAAAACATTCATCATTGTGAAAGTAAAAATAATAATAATTAAAACTACTCATATTATTTAGATAATTTAATTTTTACAGTGTATATAAACAATCCACTTTTCTAAGTAAAGTGATTTTAGTAAAGCGTAGTAAGTAAAGTGAAGTTTGGTGGTTTTCAGCTATAAAAATATTGCGTTTTAAAAATAATCTTGGTGTCCTCATCTAAATTAGAAAAGCCTTTGTAACCCTATTGGAATCCAGACTATTCATGTGCACGTGAGAATTGTGGCACGTATTACTAAGCTTGTTATCATGTAAAAGATTTCACATATGCCAGAAAATATTTCTTCTGATTATAATTTCAGCCAGCTGAACTTGTTTCTTGTTTTCATTTTGATTTACCAACGTGATGTTTACTGTTTTGATTCCCAACTGCATATTGTGTTTATTTATAACTTTTTGACGTCTTCCTTCTATTCTGATTGTTAATAGAAAATAACCTACGTATATTGAATTTATGTTAAGTCTAATTGTTAAGTTTTGTTCAATAATATTCAGCATCATTTGGTTTTCGAACGAACGTGAATAAGTCATTGTTGGAAATCATAGACGCATTTACATATATTAAATAGTTTTATAAACGTATTAAGTAGTTGTAAAAATGTTTAAACATATTTCGTTACAATATATGGAAAAGTACAAGTACACTAACTAATATCTTTTTTGTACACACACACACACACACACACACATATAATAGTTAAATATCATTGTATTGAATGGTAATTGCCCAAAGACATTGCATTTATTGAAAAAATATTAGTAATGGCAATTCAATCGGAAAAAAATTAAGATTCAATAACTTCTTGACTTTGAGGCATTCTTGAAAAAGATATAATTTTATTTAACAAGACGATATCAAGGTCATTTATTTTTCATTGTTGTTCCATAGTATAAGACATCAATTTTTTTAGAATCGTAAAAACTTTCTTTAAATAATAATCAAAGAAAAAAAAGTACTTTTGTAATAAATATTCCATATCATAAAAATGGCTATATTGAGGATTATTAATACTTTTTATAATAACTAATGAATGAAAATAATCTTGCAATGCTTGAAATTGTAGCTTTTTCTATTCTCTCGAATTATTATCTTAAACTTTTTCATTTAAAATGCATACAGTGGCTTACAGAGTAAAAAAACTCGAATTTGTCAACTTCGAGCCCTCAAAAGGATGAAGCAAAAACTCGAAATAAATTTTATATGGAATATCTATTTACATTGCCTGAAGACCTCTAGATAGGTTTCATTCATTTATTTGCAACTCCGTTTATCTCTCTTGATTAGCCTATATGGCACATTTTTATCTTACACTACTACTTCGGATGTATAAAATTTGAGTGGAAAATTTTATTATTGACTTTAATTAAACGTGATTCAATGAAACCTTTCAGAAGTATTCTGCTTTAATATATTATTAAACGTATTTTCTTCAAAATAACTTCAATGGATGATTTGTTTTAAACTTTTCTTATTTAGATAATTTCATGAAATACATGAATATATTTATTTATTTAAAATATATATTTTTTTAATTGAAGCTAATGTAACAATTTTGCGCTATTGTCTATGTTAATTTATTTTATAATAATTAAAAAATACTTATTTAATATACAATGGAACATGTTTATAATTTTTTAATGACCATAAATTAAAAAGAATTAAAGTGATGTTCGCAAAGATTAAGTTCGTTTTATCGATGCTCGTTTAAAATATTCATCTACTGTATTTGACGATTGAATTCCAAGTGATAAAGCTGAGAAAATCTCTTTTATTTATTGGACTCACAATTCCGTACATATGTTTATTGTTTCCTGATCAAATATGAAGTGAATATATGAGTTAACGTAATAAAGTAGGAAACGAAACATGGAAAAATCCACCGGCGATGGATTTTTCTTTTATCATTCTAGTAACATATCAATATTGCAAATTTTTTTTTTCATGGTGTAAGATTGTTAAATATGATCGTAAAATAATATGAATTACCAAACTCAATATTTATTTAGGTGGTAATCGATGGTGTTATTGAAAAGGGTAAATACATTTTTTTTAATGCATTTGTTTATAGAATTATAATCACGACATTTTTTATTTGATATAATGATGTTTATATATTAATAACAGATGAAGATATATCAATTTTAACCAAAAAATTAAGCAAGCATAAAAGAGTTTACTAAAATATTACTTTTAACCAATATTTGATAAACGATCTATTCTCGGCTACGACGTACACTTTAACGTTCAAGTAACCGATTTTTTGTAACTTGATGGGCTTATTTTATACATAAAGGATAATAGTCCTATCAATTTTCAGGCCAAAATATCAATTGGTTAAAATTTAATTAACAATTAAAATCATTATGAATATAACTGAGCATTTAAATATATAATAAGATAATAAATTAAAGAACACAATGTTGAGTATGAACCCTTTATTAAAATCAAATTTAAACACTGATTAAGAGATGGAGAATTTTAGTTTGTTCAATTAATTTTAATCGACCGATTGCTTAATTTTTTAGCTCATTGAAAATTAGTTTATATAAAAGATTTTGTTGATGTAACAATTTAATTAGAATATTTAAATTGTTTTTTTTTAAACCAACATATTTTTTTGAACCAAATAAAAAACAAATTTCTTGAACAGGCTGAAAATCTATCAAAAAAATGTTGAAAAAGATGTAGACCAGTGTATGAATTTGACTTTAATTAAAGGTTGACCTTTAGACATAATGACCTTTGACATTATGTTTTTTTTAATTTATTATCTACTTAGACGTTATTAATCATATGAACACTTGTTATCATTTATTTGTTTTATTCTTTCAAATTAAAAATACGATTTTGACTTAATTATAATTTTTTTGCAAAAAAACTTCCTAAATAGTATTTTAAGACCTAGCCATCTATAATATCACATTTTAACAAATAAAATTGGTATTTGTAGCATTTTTAGTAGCTCTATATTTATATACTTGTTATTATAGGAAACTAAGAATAATGTGTATAAATATCTATAATTTACCTCTGCATCATTCAAATGAACGCAGTTCTAGGAGTAACAATAACATAACAATGAGCATGATAATTAAAAATGATAGTATTTGTATTTCTTCTTTTTTTTATGTGTATTGCAATAATGTATTTTTTTGTGCCAATTGGTGGAAGTTTTCAGTTTCTGGAAATCGTGGCTCCAGAAATGTTACATGCATGATAAAAATTGCAAATCTATAGTTCGTGTTAGTCAACATAATGTCAGTTTCACCATTGGTATCAATTTACATGAGCTATAGATTTATTATTAGTTTTTCTCCCTAGATCCGTAATGTCATTTATTTAAAGTTTGTGAGTGGCTAGATTTTAATTCAATTCTATATTTGCTAAAAAAGAATATTTTCATTTTATTTATTAATTTTTTTAAATTATTTTTTGAATGTTCTTTATATAATCTATGGCTCAATAACAAACAATTTTGAAAAACTAGCTGATAAACGTAGAATTCCCGGATACGTTTATATCTTACCAATCTTATAGTTTTAGTTTACTACTATATTATTATGAAATTGAAAATAGTTTAACAATACCAGTTATTAAAATAAATACGGCTGAAATAAAATTTTCTTTTCAACAGAAGATTCATTGCGTATACTTTCCATTATTTTGTGCAACAAAGAAAACTGCTTAAGTATGCTATATTATTTTGCATTCTATACCGAGGAAAACATAATTACTGTACCGAGTGAAGGTCCTTCGCATCAGAATAAAGTTATGTCTCGTAAAGAATGTTGAAACAACCGAGCCTCGGTGTCTGCGAGCTGCTTATTCGAATAGTTTTCACTTCTCGTAAATGACGTACAATTTAAAAGCAGTAACATATATGTATAAGTAGACTAATTCAAGTTTTCTGCTTCAATCGACATTCGCGAAAACTGGAACTCCAGACGGCGAGCAGTGTGCGCCAGAGACACGTCAAAGTGTTTTTTAAATAACTAACGCGTTCAAAATGTTGATCCAAAACTTAGCTGTAATTTCGACCCTTCTATACACATGGTAAGAAAATTGAATGTCTTAAACGCTCTAAAATTGTAAGATATTTCAAAAATACTAGGTAGTAGTTTCAACCGAAATAAAAACTGTTTTATTAAACCAAGATACTTTACGGCTTTTATTCTACTAGTTTCGTCAAGAGCGCTAATTTTTTATTTCTTTTATTATTTAGTTCAACGTTTGAGGCAAATCAAAACTTAGATAGGTAAATTAAATATTTCAAATATACAATCCGTAGAAACAATCTACTGTCATCCGTCTATTTTAATTAATTAACAAATAAATATTTAATTACATTGTAATCTCCAATCCATTAATATTTTCTAACTCAATCAAAGTGTGCTTCTCAGGTGCCTATATCTACATTATACAATACGTGCACAATTTTTTCTCCCCTTTTTTGCATGTATCTGACTATTTGATTTTTTTAGAAATTTCTTTTAATTTCTTAATTCTTGCGTATATCCTGTATATCGGTACATATATTATTTTGATAAAATTACTCAAAAATTGCCTTGGCTAACTCTGCACAGTACTTCACTGCACAAATTAAAAAAACGTTACTACTATTCAAAAAAATTGTCTAATTTTCATCTGTATAAATAAAAGCGTTTAAATAAAGTTTGGATAACTTTTTCAACAAATAGATGCACGAATAAAACGAAAATAATCCATTGATTTCTAGTGGCCTAATTATTAATGATATTTATTCGATGCCAAGCTTTATAGCGAAAAATTTTAATGAATTTGTAGCCACAGGTCACTGGTGCAACCTTGATGTTCAAAATGTATGTCATAGTATGGGCAGCTATATTACGATAAATTATTGTTTTGAAGTTAGGTAGTGAATCAATGTACGAGTTATTCCCTTCGTAATACATACACATTATTTGAAATCTTATTTTACTTTAATTTAGTGATATATAAATGATGAAAAATGGAATATTATCTTACAACTTTAAAATGAAATTATATATTTAAAAATAATTTTAAAATTAAAATCTTAACTAAATGAAATTTAAATGCTCGTGTCAACCAAAATAATCACGAATAAATTAGTTTAATTTAATTATTTAGTATCACTTTTAAATATAGAAATTTAAATATATCTTAATTTGTCAAGTATCAAAGTATCAAGAAATCAAAATATCAACATTCAAATTTTGGCACCTTTTTTGCATGAACCAATCACAATGCTGGATGATCGGCTACACATAATTCTTTTAAGGTAGGGTATTTTGAAGAAAGTATCAGAATTATTTTCTTAAACAATGATAACTTTCATAAGATTAGTATAAACCCGAGTGGCAAACTATTAGCTTAATACATTGCCAGGTGTTACTGATTGCTATCAACGTAGACTTGAAATGAAAAGAACATTGGAATTGGAATTCCAATGACTTATTACAGATATAAGCAATACTTAGGTAATATGCGTCTTACGTAAAAGTATTACAGTTTCTGGAAGAACTGCAACATGTGTTTGATTAGCATCTGAAAGATAATTACGCGCGTATTTTGTAGAGTTGTAAAATGCAAACGAAATTTATTTTTAAACAACGAAGGACTATAAATAAAATATTTTATACTTTTGTACCATTTAAAATTTCGTTTGGAAAAATTGTGCATGATCCATTACATAAAGTGTATGGTTTTAGACTATTTGATCACATATGAAATATTCAAATATTACTTTATATTATTGTATATTAACATGTAGCGACTTGTTTATAATTAATAATTAATTAATATCCTAAATTTGAATGTTATTTTAAATGTTTATTATTTTACGTAGGTGTTATGCTAATTGTCACAAATACTATCAGCTTATCATAACAACTGAATATGTTACGAATACTATATTAGTTATAAACCTTTCCTAGTAGTTTTTCCTTGAGTATAAATCATTTTTTGTCTAGTTTAATCTGTGCCAAATGATATTTCAATATATTTGTGAAATCTGACGTTTAAACGTCTACATATCATGTCCGGCCTCAAATTTTGACTAGAATTAATGGAACGCCCAGTTTAAATGAAAACTTAGATGGGTGTTAAATATCTGTAATCATGTAATTAGACGTGAATATATATAACATATGATACGATACGAGATTAGAAATACACAATGAAAGACAAGGAGAGATAAAACGCTGGAACTCATTAAATTATCAAAGGTCGGTCGTATCTTTCTTACTTCGTGTCTATACTTTCAGTACTTTATTGTAACGCTCCAGTACTATTCATCGCACTCACATACTTTCTTTCAATAAAAAAACATATTTTGTTGGATTATATTTATAGATCAAATTAATATTCTGCAGGTAATATTGTCAAATGAAAAATTGTAATTATATTCAATCTTGATAATTGTCAATATTCGGTCTTTCAACTACTTCGAAGATATACAACAATTATGCGCGACTCAAGAGATACTGCAATTATAAAGGTGTCGTATCCGACTATAAATTATAGGAATTTCATGAGGAAAAATCGACTTATCGCTGAATAATTTTAATAAAAAATTATATGTTTATGCATGTGAGCGAATGCACGTATCAAAAGCAATATACTATAGAAAAAAACTTTCAAGGAAATATTTGAGAAAACTAAATATTATTACATATGTTATTTATGTTCTTGAAAATTTCCTTCTTATTTCAAATGATTGTGATTGCAAAAATATCAACTGAAATACTATATAATAGAAACAATAAAATAAAATAAAAACTGCAACAGTGAGCTTTGAAATCGTCCTTGATGATTATGAAATTTTAAAATAGCTAATTTTTTAAATTATATAATTATTATTGACTATACAATCTTATGACCCTAGTCATGTAGTATTAAAACATTAAAAGGAACATATTTTGATAATTAAAATTATTATTCTTTTATAGCATTATCATGGATCCAACTAGAGCAAGTCAAATATCAGTACAATCATGGGGACAAGTCGATGGAAAAGAAGTAAAAATATTCACTCTGAGAAATTCGAAAACCCAAGAAGTTGATATTATTTCTTATGGTGCTACAATAACTGCTATACGGACTCCTGACAAAGCTGGTAAAATTGATGATGTGGTTTGTGGTTTTGATAATATCGAAGGTAAATATATCTCGTAGATTATATAATCCTTAATATATGATCATATCTATGCATGTATTTATTTTCGAAGGATATCTATCAAAAGTTAATCCGTACTTTGGAGCTACTGTCGGAAGAGTTGCAAACAGAATTGGAAAAGGCCAATTCAAAATAGACGGCACTCAATATCAAGTTTCACGAAACATTGGAAACAATAGTCTTCATGGAGGCTTGAAAGGCTGGAACTCCAAGATTTGGGAGACTTCAATTGAGAACGATACTGTGATCATGACATTGCTTAGCAAGGACGGAGACGAAGGTTTTCCCGGCGATGTATTGGCTTCTGCGTCTTTCCAATTAACCGATGATGGGAAACTAATTATTGAGATGAAATCGACATCGACTAAAGCTACTCCCATAAACTTGACTAACCACAGCTACTTCAATTTGGCAGGACATGTAAGTGATATTTTATGAAATCAGTTAGTGCATGCTAAGATCGCTAAACTTTTACATTTTTATCTCATATTCAAAGTTACGCATTTTTATTTATCGATAGTAAGTATAAATTGTTGTAAATATAAATATTAGGATACATAAATTGGAATCATGACAAATAAGTAATATACATATTTCATTTTTCATTTTTAACAAATATTTTAATAGATCTCAAAATGAAATGTACAATAGAAAATTTTAGAATACTTAATTAAACGAAGAAAGTATGTTTAATACAAGTTTTGGTACGATAGTATAGTAACGAAAGAGCCGTTTATTTTATTGATAAATAGACTTAATAATTCATTGGTAAATTAATTAAAAAGATTCAATAAAATAAAACTCTTACAAATATTTCAACAAAAAATTAATATTTGACATAATTTCTCGTTGATCTGAATAAATCATTTTTCAATTATCTTAATCATATCGGTAGCGATTGGTGCGGATTGGTATTATACGACACAAGATAATAATAAGAGTCTCAATGAATTAATTATGAAAGTAAATAAAATATCTATGACCGTAGAAAAAATGCATGGAAAAATGGTATTACTGTACATCAAGTATCAAATGCGCTATCTTTAGGAAATATAACTGGTGGATTCATAAATACAATTATCGGAGTACTTCGTAAAATTACATTGGGCATAAATTTAACTTTTGCATTAAAAGTTTCACCTCCACACATCATTTTCAATGTTTCGATTACCCTCAGCTCGTAATTCGGTTCATTCCATAGTAAAATTCGTTAATTAATAACAGCTTCTTGTAAAGGAAAAGAGACATGTTTATTAAAATTCCTAATTTGACCATTATTAATACATTCATGAATTACGCATGAATCGAAGAAATAGTTTTTACAGAATTTGGTAGAACGATAATTAACATACAATTTCGTTTAAGTATTTTTTTTCTATTAAATTATATGAATTATTAAATTTTATCTATTAAATTATATTGTTATACTCGGAATATCCTTTAATTCTTGGTATATCAACTGGGGATGGAATTAAAGAATATTCAGGCGAACAAACCAAGAAACGAGTTATTGAAGACACAAAACCAATTTAGAAATATTTATTAAATCTATTCTATGTGTGTGCCTTTAAAAAATATATTATTTACAAGTTTTCGGGTATTTTCTAAATTTCAGTAATAACCGCATAAGCATAATTTTATTATTATTATATTACATAATATCAATCAAACAATATATATCGCAATACTATTATAATATAATTGAATCTACTGCGCGCTGTTTTAGAAAAATATATTATATATCAAGTGGGAGAAAATGGTTTAAATGTTTTTTACAGGATTTATATAATTTAATTGAAAAAAAATACCTAAGCGAAATTATGTGCTAATTATCGGAACACCAAATTCTTTTTGCTAAACTATTATCTATATTATCTAGTAAAAACTATTTCTTCGATTGAGAACGATAAATTAATGCACGTATTAATAATGGTCAAATTAGGAATTTTAATAAACACGTCTCTTTTTCTTTATAAGAAGCTGTTAATAAATGAATTTTAATATGAAATGAATCGAATGACAAATAACCGAATTACTATATATAAGATTAACAAGTGAAAATCACGAAGAAACATATTTTTCATTGAATATTTTTTGAGAGATTCTTTGTAATACGTGATATTGTTGTATAATATCACATTTTCAAATAAAAATATGTTTCATTCTATATGATTTCATAATTGATCATTCTGCTATCATTAGGATTATTTATTATGATTACAATTTATGAAATGGAATAAAATTCTATCTGACAATCAATTGAGGAACTTCATTTGTTCAATTGAATTCGGTTTAGTATTTGATCGATTGTTACAATATTTTCGTTATATTAAATTCGACAAGGCAAAGGTTGTACAAATTAACTTTTCAAATACCAATAATCAATAGATACGATATCAAAAATGTTTGTTTACTTTAAAATTCATATATTAAAGATCAAACATTTTCTATTAGAAGTATATCATTTACAAAAGTTATTATATAAAAATACGCTATTAGGGTTCCTTGAAAATATAAATATTAAACAAGGTGTTAATTTAGTGGTTTGTCTGGGTCAACATTATTAACATTAATATAAAATTATTGTCTAGTCATCTCAGAAAATAACTGTTCTATTATTTTTATCTTTTATTATATACATCATTTATTATTAAAAATTACTTGAAAATCAAATCATACCGATAATTTCTAATTATTTTGATATAATTAAATAATTATTACAATAAAGGCTATTGGTTAACACACATTGTCTGTTCAACTAGTTAAAACCTTTGCTTTTTAAAATAAAAAGTTAAATGCTCTTCCAATTTTAGCAAAAATTGTGAATATTACTGAAAATTATTTAAATTAAAAAGCAAGTATCAATAGAAATTAAACTGTGTATCCCCGTGTAAGTTAACAAATGCACCTAATCATCCTTATCGACATTAGTAATTAAGTGTCTAGTCAAAAATCTTATTTCATTAATCAATAGTAAACTAATTGAAAACTTTCGAGCACATCTCGTTATTCTTTTTGTTTAGTAGGTAAGATTTCGCTGGTGAAATTATTGAAATCCTACGTGTTTTGCGCAATCGATGTCGACTACCAGGTATCCTTTCTACCTTGTAAATATTATGCTTGACAAACACATCAGGTTGAGACGATCTCATACATAACGATATAGGACCAGAAAAATCAACGTCAGTTGCCAATTCAAGTTTAGGCTCTAAAGTTAAAGTAAATTCAGCTCTACTGTGCACAAAATCGGTTATAATCTTATTACCACCTTGAATGGCAATTCCAGCTCCCATTTCAACAACTGACTGCGCATTTCTTGACCAAAGACTTAGACTAATTTTTCCTGATAAGTCGACACTCATTGCTCCTTCAACATCTACTTCAACAACAAACCCCGATGCCAATGCAATCAGTTCTCGGTGACGATGCAGGTTAACAGTTGTCTGAAAAGCTGGTGTTTTTTCCGATGCGGTACCAGACCAAACGTGACCCATTAATTCTCCTTGGCCAGAGAAGAAAATAAACGGTCGAATATCTACATCTAGAAATGAGATTTCCATGCCCGCAGTTGCTACTTCGTTCTCTGGCGGTATTTCGTTTTCCTCTTGGTCACTCGAAGACATAAAACTATCAAGTCCGCCTGCAAAGAGACCAAGGGAAAAAAGCGTATATTTATAAGAATTACTTTCGAGTACAACATCAACAATTCCACGTTTTAAAAGGCCGCCTTTAATTTCTTGGATTGTAACTATAGAGCCGTTGCTACTGACTGAGTTAAGAAAGGTTCTAGTAAATGCAGTGCTCAGTCCACGTTGAGCGAATGCGTGATAGTTATTAACTTTTGATGATTCTTTCTGAATAGCGATTTTAAACTTTCGTCGAAATGCCATGTCGTCGTTAGAGAGCTGTTCGAATCTTTGGACTAAGTATTTTTTTATCTCATACATCGAATCTGGATTCGTTAGATATAACAATAATACCCGTAGATCCTCCACGGTTGGATTGTTTTTCACAATGACATTCAAAGCTAAAGCTCTGATACTACTGTCAACTCTTTGTTTCCCAAGCTCGAGGAAAGTTTTCATAGCTAAAGATTTAATTTCATCCGTAACATATTCAGCCTTCATATTTCCCATAGCTTTCCAGGCAATGATGCCCATCACTCTGCCTTGACCTGTCGCATACTTCAATAAAGTAGGAATAACAGTTTTAGATCCTAAATTACCCAAGGCACGAAGGAATTTCATTTTGCACTCTTCGCTTGTACATGTCTCCAGGCCGATTTCCAAACTATTCTTTACTTTTTCTATGACACTAAGAGAACCATATCGTTTAGCCATTGCAGCTGCGCTGAGTGCTAAAGTCTCCGACACTTTGTCATTCTGTGGCGTTTCTTCGGAGCGTGTTAAAATATCCTTTATGATATCCGAATCTTGATAGGGTGACATTGAAACAGCCCATAAATATCGTTCTGTATTATCGCCGATGTTGTCCTGTCTGAGAGCTTTCATGGCAGCTTGATGAGCTGCAGGACTCGATGCTGAACCATACAAATCGTACAGTTGTGGCAAAATATTATGGTTGCGTGGACTTTTCAATATTTTCGTGAGTGTTTCAGCAGAGGTATTTCGAATTAAAGGTACTAGTTTCAAAAAAGCATGCGCAGACTTTATCGTGCCCAAAACGGACGTGTCGAGTGCACTCCGACTGCTGTCCAATACTGAATTTAATGTAGGACATCCTGATTCGGGGCAAGCCATTCGTTCAGTTTCCGCTTTGAAAGATACTTCCATGTACCGTGAATCGAGCTTTCTTAAAGCTTCGGCAAATGTAGGAGCTGTTATTGAGCTACCTGAGATCGAGCCAGGAACTAATTGTAAAATCCTGTGTGTGGTTACAGATGTTCGAGCTTCTTGTTTGGCCGTCAAACTCATCACATGTTTCTCGTCTTCCATGACGAGTTTAGGTATAGAAGACTCGGTAAAATCGTATGTGCTTCTATAGACACTCTTAAGATTAACTCCAAGAATTGGATTAGGATTATGAATTTTATGTCTATCACAGTTTTTTTTTATTTTCTCAACAGATCTTGAAGATAGAGTGTTGTAGGATACTGTACATACACCACTCGCATCAGTCTCCTGAACGACGTCGGGGCGATTCTTGTACTGGAATATGCTTGCAAAACCGCGTTTAAGATTCAACGATGATAAAGTTTCCGCGTAGACAGCAAAAATCTTTTTAATTTCGCCGTCTTTCCACAAAATGACGATAGCATCCTCGGTAATTTCTTCTATTCGTGAATCGTGCTTGATGAAACCTTCGGGCCGTGGAGCTTTTCTGGATTTGATCCACAATTTTAGTGATTCGGACTTAATTGAAAGGAGAATAGTACTTGGATCGGCGGGATCTTTCCAAATTGGTAAAACCTTTAATTTTCCTGTGATTTGAAAGCCAACGTCGCCGATACTAGTGTTGATGAACTGTGGCATTTCTCCCATTAATAGACTCGTTGTTATGTCGTACGTGACGCCAGAACCAATATTCCAACTGTTCACGCAGCCAAAGATTAGTGAGATTATGAAAATATACATTTTTACAATTGAGATTGTCATTCTGCTGCTTTCCGTTTTTTTTTTCAAATGGTTTTACGAGTTGAATACCTGTTGAAAAATATAATTATTTAGAAGCATGTTCACTATATAAATGAGATTTTCAACGACATTTATTCTAACTACAATTATTGTGGGCAATAATTATCTTTCTGAAAAAGTAATTGGCTTCGTGAAATTAACATTGTAGCAAAAAACAGTTGGTAACTTATGTTGCAATCATAAAAGCGGAAATTAATACTAGCCACGAGTGAATAATTATGCGAAAAGTCCACGCGAAGACGGAACCACTTCTCGCATAAAAATAAATTCGAGAACTTTCTAAAGTAATCTATTTGAGACCTTTCACGTAAAATATCTGTTACTTAGAGAAAATGAAAAACTCAGAAGATGAGATAAAACATGAATAATTTTGAAAAATCTTTATTTTATTTACGTTCTTATCTGTAATGACTGATGAATGAATAAATTTTGCTCTACAAATTTTCGGGCACTTTACAATCCAAACATATAAAGAACCTATTATTTTTCCAAGAGTTTAGATAAATTCAATTGAACCACGTTTTAATTTTAATGTATCTCAATGTATAACGTTGTTGCATATGGAATACCAGATACTGTGACTATCTTTCCCCTCCATGCGTTTTCTTTTTCTACGACTTGACTTATCTAATCATTTGAAACCAATATGCGGACCCGCGGAGCATCGTCATGAGTAGATATAAAAATATTTATTTGAATGACAGATAATCGAGGGGTTAAAATTTATTCAAGAGGTCAAGGCGCATGCGCGCGTAAGTACTCAAAGGCGCCGACTTTTATGATTCGCGAACTACTTCGAATCATTGACAGTCAGTAAATGAGCCTATCTGTATTTTCTCGAGCGTCGTTAATTTAACGAAATGAAATTTCAGTCGTTAAACTTTGATAAAAGCAAGCAAGAACAGCCTTCAACAGTGCAGTAACCAATACTCGTTCAAGTGGAAAAGCAACAAGTTGTATCTATCGACAATGAATGATGTGGAGATTTGAACGCTATACGTATACTGAAATGCGTGAAATAGTAAACTCACCGATGTGGGTACTGATTACTTAAGGACTTGTACCTCGCAGCGTCGATATAGCGGCAATAATAATTTTTTCGCTCTCGCATCCAGAAGACTTTCTATATGTTGGCTGCTGCCCGTTACTGATTGAGAGGCTCTCACGCACGCACAGCCAGCCCCGTGCACACGGAATGAGCAACTTCCGCACTTTAGCACGTGTAGACGAACAACGAAGACAAGCGAGGAGCGTCCTCTCTTCTTTGCTACGAGTGTGGCGGCTGCCTTCGATAGTCTGTATGCGCACTGTGCTACTATGGTATGTGCTGCTTACTTGTTGCCGCGCCGCGCTCACCATCAGTGACGTCAGCTAGTTGCCAGATTATAGGGGATTCAATGGACTTGCGCTCTCGAGCAACAAGTGTCCATTGACCGAATGTGCTTTCTTTCTCTCCGCGACCAATTTGATTGGGTGCCAGCTGAAATTTATCGATAAAAAAAATATATTTGAACGATATGCCCCTTTTTGAAGTTATTGGTTGTTTTTTCTCAAAAAATATGCGCTTCAATTCACTTGGATCCAACACTCTCATCCCTGATCATGCATCTTTAAGATGTTGATTCATTTATCTTAGATGTTCATTAGATTAACAGTTACAAGTTATCTCTTTACCCCAGAAAGTCATGCTATTTAATCAAATACATATGAAAAATGTAAAATTTCATAATATAAACCTCTAGTTTTTTTTATTCTTGCATCTTTGAGTAACAAAATATCATATACTGTTATATAATAAAAAATAATAAAATAAACTAGTTAAAACTAATTACGAATTATTTATGTTTTAGGGAACTAATGCTGCAGAAATTTATAAACACCAAATAACTATGAGTGCTGATAGATGGACAGTAACGGATGCAGAGAGTATCCCTACTGGAGAAATTCTTCCAGTAGACAACAGCATAATGGATTTAAGAAAACCAACTATTCTGGGTGATGTTATTAACAAAGTTCCAGGAGGAGGATTTGATTACAATTTTTGTTTACCAGGATGCTTACATCCAGATCAGGAAAAATTTGTAGCTAAAGTTATTCACCCAAACAGTGGAAGAACTCTCGAAGTTTTAACTAATCAACCAGGTGTTCAACTGTATACTGCAAACTTTTTTCCTGCAGTTGGTGCTGATCCAATTGTAGGCAAACAGGGAAAACAATACTTCAAGCATGGAGCATTTTGTTTGGAAACACAGAACTACCCAGATGCGGTAAACCATGTGAGTATTTACTGTTTAAATGCTTCTTATGCTATAATAGATGCTACAATAGATCATTGATTTTACAGGAAAACTTCCCGAATAGTATTTTGAGACCTCATCATTTATATTACCATATTGTAACATACAAATTTGGCGTTCAAGCTTGAAATTCCAATTTTACAGTGTAACACAAGTTTGAAAATAGAACTTGTGGCATTTATCATTTTCTTTTCATGTAATATGTAATAATATACTTCAAATATTTAATGAGTTTCTTATTCAATCTCTATTAATAAAAGTTTACATAATAAATTTGCTAATAATCATTCCTTTTTCAAATAAGCTATGGCCCAAAGAAAATATTCTTTAAAGGTTTCTACAATAATATACAGTACAAAATAACATCATTTATTCACTATTTTAAATTAATATAGTTTTCATGGAAATTTCAGATTTATAACTAAAATTACTTTAGTTATTTGAGAGATGCTACAAAATAATAGCTAAATAACTAATTCATTAACATTAATATATTTTTCATCAAGTACCTAAATATATAAAGTTTAGAAGTAGACTAATAAATATTTAAGTAGTAAAACTAAATGTTTTGCAAGTATGCAAAGAATTTTAATTGGTGAATTGTTGAAATAACAAAAAGAAAAAAAATACAAACTAGAAATTTGACTAACTTTAATATTCTCTAATTAAAATGTTGCTCTACATAAATTCAATTCCACGAAATAGACCATAAAATGGTGATCATGCTATTCATTTGAGTTTTAAATAAGTAGTGATAATTAACAATTTTCATATTAAACTTACCTAGCCTCCAAGTGCTTATTTATACAAAAAATAATATAAAGTGAGACAGAAATAAACTCCATGGAACTAGGTAAGGTAACAGGCAACAGATATCAGCTGTTGTACGATTATTTTCAATTTCCTCATTCATAGCTCACTCCTTCCTTTCCTCGATCGCAGTTGGTCTCTCGTTGGTGTCCTGCTGTCGTCGTTGCTAGGCGAGTCCTCCATAACCTATATAGTTCTGCTATATAGTTAACCAGTCTATTTCTTTTTGTTGCCGTAGTACCTCAACCTGAGACTGGGAATTTCCGTATTATATGTTATACTTAAATACTACAGTACTTTACTCGTGCGTTACAGAAAAATATTCATTTTTAGGTTATGTCACAGTAACACGCGAGATTGTTAACACAGCTTTAAGTGTCAGTTGCATTTGTTTGAATGTTTTATTGGCATATTGAAGAAAAATGTCAATTGCAGCAAGTAGATCTTTGTTATCGTGTCTTTTAAGGAATAGTAATAAAACATATGCCAAATATTTAATCAATGTGCGATTTAAATCCGAACATTCAGATAAAAAGCATGCCTCAAATGAATCAAATATGATTGAAAGAGCTGTTTTAAAAAAATTTTCAGAAAAACTTCATATAGAAAGTGTTGATTCACCTAAAAAATTGCAGTCCACAGAGGTTAAATCTTGAATCTGCTATTTAAAGTTTATGTTATTCTAATTCATACATTTAAAAAATTAAATTTAAATAACTAATAAACTAATTTTTAGGTTCTCATTGATGTTAATTACTGTGCGTTGAATGGACCAGATGTACTTTTGTGTGAAAATTTATATTCTTATAAACCAAAATTACCATTTGTGCCTGGCTATGAAGTTTGTGGAAAACTTGTTGAAATTAGTGAAGGAGCTAGAAAAGCTGGTTTCAATGTTGGAGACAAAGTTGTTGCACTCAACAAAGAATGCTTTGGTGGTTTAGCTGAGAGATGCATTGCTGAAGTTCGTGTTAGTATTGATGTACAATAAATAGCTAAATATTAAGAAATCAAAATACATCACATAAATAATAAATTACTAGCATCATTTATCCTGACAATTTTTACAGGATGTTTGGAAAATACCTTCTTCAATACGATCTATTGATGCAGTTTGTTTATTAGAATATTATATGACTGCATTAATTGGTTTGGAGCAATGTGCATCAATTGATGAAGAGGATATGGTCTTAATTAATGTTGGTATTGGTGGTATTGGTTTGGCAGCAGTAGATATCGCTGCGAATGTTTACAAAGCTAAGGTAAGGTTGAATAATAATATATTTTTACACTAATAATTTTATAATTGTCATGGAAACTTTTTCTGCATAAGGTAATTGGAGTTGGTTTTTCTGAAGATAAAGCTCATAAAATTAGAGAAAGGGGAGCTTTTCATGCTTTTAGTTATAAAGAGAAAAAGTTACTTAAAGAGATTGAAGAAATTGCAGGAGATCGTGATATCAAGGATATCTTTGAGGGAGATAGTGGAAAACATTTTAAGAAAGTACTTGATGGGTAGGTGTTAATATTACGGGCTTGATTAATTCTCAAATAATTTCTGTATCTAATTCGAATGTCATTGAAAATTGCAGTTTTATGAATATTTACAAATCAAGAACTCCATCCAAACATCTATTAAGGGATGACAACTTTGGAGTAGTGGTTCAACATCTGGCTCGTGATGGTAATAATATTTATAATATTAAGAATTTATAAATTTTAAAATAATGATAAAAATTTACTGGTTTTTGATAAAGGCAAAATTATCATTGCTGGTACTGGTCATACAAGTTCTGATAATGAAGGAAAGGGTGATGATAGATTTACAGTAACTGGTATCAGCTTAAAGGATTACAGAAAACGAAAATATGAGCTCTATAGGTAGATTTATTTTTATAAGTATGAAATTTGATAAAATTTATTATTAATATTGATTTTATTTAGACAAACTGGGGAAGACGTAATTTCATTCTTTGAGGAAGGGCTTATCAAGCCAGTCCCTTCTATGATTGCTGGTTTCTACCACATTAATGATGCTGTCAAATTTATTTCTGAAATGAAACATTGTGGAAAGGTCAGAGAAATATTTTTTATTGATTGCTTAATTTAACAAGTATAAAATATTCAAAAAATATTTTGATTTTACCTTTCTTTTCAGGTTATTATTGATATAAAGCAAAAGGACAAGGAAGCAAAGGCTCAATAAGAAATTGATTGAACAGGAAATAACAGGTTTATTTTCAGTAATCATCTTCAAGGCGCACATTAATTATAAAAGAGAATTTCAGAAATAAGACTGCTATAGATTATGACATTTTTAAAAAGTTTCATCCTAGTCCCAGTGAGATAATTTGTAAATAGTATTAGTTAACATTTCAGAATAAAAAGTTTTTTGTAAATACGATTATTTCTACCGAATTCTCTGTGTGACCAAAATATTACTAATATATTATCTTTTTATGAAAATAAATATATAATTAAAATTTAGTATCTTTTATGTAATATATCAATTATCTATATATTTGTTGGTTGGTTCATTCCAAATGTACTCTTTAAATGTTTTGTTAAAATTTTTAGCCACAAAATATTTCTATAAAAATATGTTCTTATGATTATTTGAATGCAAATTTTCACATAATCTACGGTAGCAAAGTTCAAATGTTATTTCTTAAAGCAGATCTATTCACATCAGCTACAACATGTTTTTCTTAAACTTATTTAATCTTAATCCATGGATCTTAATAAATGGATTTTAGTCCATTCATTTTTAATATAAACCATTAGTTAAAAATTGTGTGCATTATTACGTACTCGTATTATTAATCGATCCTATCACAAATAAAAATAAAAAACAGGAAAATATTAAAAGGATTTCAATTTATATTTTGAATCATTGTCATTAATTAAAGTCTACGAATATGTCAATATCGTCATTGACAAAAGTCAAATGTAAATGATTCAAGTAAATAGATTTAGGCATATATTTTCTAAGATAAATGTGAATTCGATAAAAATTATGTAGTTAACTAATTTAAATCGAAAAAGTTACAAAATTAATCACGGATACTCTTTTACTATAGGAAATCAAAAGGATACTCTTCTTTTACTGTAGGAAAGGAAGCAAAATGGAAAATCTGTTATAAAATTTATTTATACTATACATAGTAGAATAGTTTTTCAGTGCACGGGCAGTTACGAATTTTAAGTTTGTTATGAATTTGCTGTTATTTATAAATACAAAATTTGGCCTTTATTAAAGTAATTATATGTGAATTTTTAGAAAGTTATAGTTCACCATATTTTGCAACTATTACTTTTTACAGTAATATATCAAATTCTATAGATCTCTCAAATATGAAAATAAATAAAATTATGAAATCCAATCGAACATCGAACTTCGAAAAAGATCACAAATAACGGAAGATTCTTAGCGATTTAAACATGATACTATTTATTAATTTTTTTATTACTTTTAAATTTATACTCTTGGTATAATAGATATTTGTAAAATCAAATTAAATCATAAAATGAACAATCATCTAGTTTGACAAATAATGTATGAAAAATGTAATAGAAAAACTTACACCCATAGAATGTGGGCATTGCTGCATACAAAGTCAACTTTACATTGAACGTAGAATAGAGCATGTAGAAAACTAAATCTTTAAAAAAAATTTTGTATGAATAAAGCTATCGGAAAACGCAGGAAGTAAATATAAAAATAACAGTGAAAGTGACATTGATGTATTATAACTCGTGAATGCAATTCGATTATTGTTTGGATTATCAACTTTGCTGTCGTAAACTATTCTGTGTATTAGTACTAACATTCAGTAAGTCTAAAAGATATTCCGATTTTTGGAAATGTTTTTAGCTTTTGATTAATTTAAAAAAATTGATGTTTACTATATGTTCATTTGCGAAGAAGTATGCAATAATAAAAAAACCTTTTTTTGGTGGCTACATTCTATAAAAAATTTAATGAATATTGCATAGGATTGCTATTGCATAGAAAATTACAAAATGATAGTGTCGTTTGATTTCTGTCAAATATTACCAAGTCAAAAATATATTTGTTCCGGCTAATTAGTGTCGTAAATTTTCAATATATAGTTCAAGGCCTTACTAGCTGTACGCAAACACAAGTAGTCACGTTTTTAGATCTGTCATGAGATATATATTGTTTCTATAACTTTCATTTAATTTAATTTAATATCTTTATTTCAAGTTGTACCTTGAGTGAAAAGAAATAAAAAATTAAGTAAATCAATTTCCATGTAGCCGCGTGGTCTACGGTGAACAAATGTGAGCACTCTAAAGACTGCAGAGTACAATGAACAATGCGGTAAACAAACGCATTTAGAGAGAGAAAAAATATCCGAGCACTAAGGACTCAATACATTTCCTTGTGAAACATACGGATATTATGGCACTGTGAGTGTACCAATGCTCCTAAGGCGAACAGCCTTGGCTTATTTCCTGCCTTGCACCGACAGACTATTCTCCTTTTTTTGCATGCGCATATTTAATGGCGCGTACTGGGAATTTTGATACATGACAATCATGATTATCCAACGTATATAATCAATCATTAAGCAATTAATCAACTTTCATTACATGTGGGCCTAGAAATTAAAAGAAGCGAACACGACTTTCGTTGAATGTATTTAGTGGTTTTCAAATAGAGTATTAGCATTGGCGCATGTGAAGTAAGTTTGATATTTTAATAAAGATATAATATATATATATATATCTTATATATATGTAAGAATATCTTTTTGTGTAAAGCTCTTTTGAATAACTAAGATAAATTTGATTATGAAATAATTAGTAAATTGGTAAGTTAGTAAGTAATGAATTTGTAATTAATAAGTTTGGCATTATCGTACATTCTGTATGCTTTTGCCAATACCAGTGCAATAAAAAGAATTCAATATCAGTATTTTTAGACGTAAAAGCACGTTTGCCTGTTAACCATCGCTGATACGAGCTAGAAAAAATGAAAGCTTTCGATGAAAGATAATCATCGAATAATACAGGGACGAAAAAAAAATTGCTGAAATCTGTCATCGATTGAGAAAACTATCCATTAATTTCTATTAAGAATCGAGCTCAGTAAAGTCGATTCTAATATACTCCACAGTGAAATTGTAAATATAAGTATGCACTCGCCTTTGGCGTGCTGATTAGACTAACGGTGGCTTATCGCGCGGGGAGAGCGGCTCAAGGTGAGAACGTAAACATACACTGTCTACACGCGCTACATACGTAGGCGTGGTTTAAGAGAACAGAAAATCCCGCTTCGATTTCAGAGATTTCCTCACACACTGCGAGCGTGGAAAGAACACGCACACGCATGTACATATCAGCTACCACACACACGCGAAAACTGAGTCTAATCGAGCGTGTGCATTGTGGGAGAGACAGAGATTATTGTTGTGTGCGCTTTAAGCAGATATCGACAAGGCGCCTGTGTTTCGAGTCCCTTCCACGCCAGCTTTGTTTACGATACTGCGCCTTTGCAGACATGCGTACATGCGTTTAGCGAAGAGGTAATGGACTCGCATATTTCAATAAAAATGTTTCGCTTGTCTGCATACGGCTAAATGGGAATTTGTTTGGGAGCGCGCGTGTATATATGTGTGATGGAAACGGAAATTTTGAACATTTGTGTGCTTTTCGTCACCACCGCATTTTAATTAAGAATGACAATAAATGAAAGAAATGACATATAAATGTAGTCAAACCAGCTATAAATTTGCGAATTTAATTGGCCGTGAAGACTTCTTCGGTAGATTGTTATGCTTTACTTAAAATTTTTAAGCGTCTACAATGTCGTTTAGTTGTAGAATAAATCATTTTCATTTTAATAGTGTTGTTGACTTCACATCCATTTATACGTGATCAAAATTGCATTTGCTTATTTCTACTTTTAGTTATTATAAATTAGTCAATCTTGTGTATTCTCCAGGGAAAATGAAAAGAATTGATAAAAATCACTAGTATGGTGAATTTGAAGTTTTCTTTCTAAATAATGTCAATTTTTCCGTAAGAGGCAAGCATTAGTGTTGAGCAAAGAATTGCATCGACAATTTATTATATCATAAAAGTTTCGTGGGATAAACTTACTTGATCAGTTAATCAACTATAAATACACGTTGCAACGCGTCTTTACGTCCTTTGCAAAAAAAGAAGTTCTGGGTTCAGTATTATCCTACTATAGATTATAAATTATAAAACAACAAAATATTCTAATATAACTGAGATTATTCACAATATGTTGAACTAATACCGGCTAATCAATTAATGTGTCCAAAATTATATTTGAAAAAAAAAAATTAATATTACCATATAAATTTTAAAAGATAATTTATGTAACATAAAACATAGGAACCTATTAGTCATTGCTTGAATCAATATTATAGGAACCTATTAGTCATTGCTTGAATTAATATTAAAAAACTATTTGACATCAACGGTCCCGTAAAGTATCATTAAATAAATCAAATTCTCGATGTATTATCCAACAAAATACAGACAAACAAACAAATCGAGTATGCGTTACATCAGAACCTCTAATTAACGATCTTGAAGTATTTGTTAACATTTGATTACTTTCATAATGCACTTTGCACAATCAGTCATTAAGCTCGACAAATAAATGCTTCTGGAGCAACAAAAAGAGAAAAAGGTTTTGAAGGAAACTGAAAAGTTCAATAATCGTAATTAGTACAATCATTCAAAATGCCCGAGAGCCGAGCAAAGTGAAATATGCATCACTGATAAAATAACTTGGTAATAATCTATTCGCTTGATGTTTGTTATTGCTGCAATAAGAAGTGTGTGCTAACCCTGTATAGCCTTCATTTATAGGAGCAAGTGTTTGCCAATTTTATGTTAATATTTTCCTGTATGGTTTTAATGATATTACAATTATTTGTGTAAAAATTAGTAGTCTGAATGAAGGTAGAATTATCCAAACGAATTTACGGACAAGTAAAGTTCTATCATAAAAATCGTATATGTGCGTCTTCCGAGGTGTAGAAATCAAGTTGGATCAACCTAAAGTTGAGGGAACTGCATGTATTTGATCATAAAAATTTGATTCGAGAGACTGTAACGTATTTACGTGAATCATAAAAGACTTCAAGACTTGTCAAAATAATTTATGTACATTTAGTCGATCACATACGTTATATCAACGTTACTGCACGCAAAGAAATTTTACTCATAGCTATTCAGCAAAATCAGTTCTGACACATACGCGACTTATCAGTGTGAAGTAATTACCGGAAGGAAACAGTTAAGGCACCCAGAATATAATAAGCAAATAATGATTTTTTTTACAAAATATCGTGTTCAGGGCACGTGATAATGCTTTCACCGCGAGCAAATAATTCGTTCTCACGAGATCAGCAGGT